TTCTTCGACTGTATGAGCAGTCCCGCCTCGCCTGGGCCGAGTTCCCCGTGCCCCTGTGGGGCAAGACAATTGAAGAGACTTGATCACAGCCTACAAGTCCCCTGTCTACAAACTTGTCCCCCCCCACCCCCACCTACAGTGACCTCAGGTCATCCTCGCACCCCCCTGCCCAGCCTACCCCATCTCCTCAGCTTCTAGGGACCTTCTTAGGTGCCAAGCAGGTACTTGGTACATTCAGTGCAAGAGAAATCGGGTGGAGGCCTTAAGTTAGAGGCTGAGGGGCTGGAATGACTGGAGAGAGGATAGCCAAGTGACCAATCACTGCTTCAGGGTATCGTCTTAAGAAATCCATTACAGGTCTGGAGAGATGGCTCATAGGTTAAGAGTACCGGCTGCTCTTCCAGAGGTCCTGAGTTCAATTCCCAGCAACCACATGGTGGCTCACAACCATGTGTAATGAGATCTGGTGCCCCCTTCTGGCCTGCAGGCAGAACACTGTATATATAATAAATAAAATAAATCTTTAACAAAAAAGAGAAATCCATTACATCGTTCTTATTTTAATAGAAGTAAAGTTTATTATAATATACAGATCTTAGCTGGGCGTTGGTGGTGCATGCCTTTAATCCCAGCACTCTGGAGGCAGAGGCAGGTGAATCTCTGTGAGTTCGAGGTCAGCCTGGCCTACAGAGCTAGTTCCAGGACAGCCTCCAAAGCTACACAGGGAAACCCTGTCTCGAAAAACCAAAATATATATATATACACAGATCTTAAGCATTCCGTTAGATTGAGTCTGTTTTCATTTTATGTGTGTGCATGCTTTACCTGCGTGTAAGTGGACCACGTGCATGCATTGTCTGTGGAGGCCAGGAGAGGGTATCATGGCCCCTGGAATTGAAGCAACAGATGGTTGTGAGCAGCCACTTGGGTGCTGGGAGTCAAACCTGGGTTCTCTGCAAGAGTAGCAAGTATTCTTTGGTTTTTTTTTTTTGTTTTGTTTTGTTTTTTTTGAGACAGGGTTTCTTTGTGGCTTTGGAGGCTGTCCTGGAACTAGGTCTTGTAGACCAGGGTAGTTTCGAACTCACAGAGATCCTGCCTGCCTCTACCTCCAAGTGCTGGGATTAAAGGCATGCACCACCAATGCCCGGCTGAGCAGCAAGTATTCCTCACCATTGAGCCATCTCTCTAGCCCACTTTTGGTAAATTTTCAGGTGTGTCACTAAGAGCCCAGCCGACACACAAAGTAGCCATTACCCAGAAGGCTACTTTTTCTTTTTTCTTTTTTGAGACAGGGTTTCTTTGTATTGTTTTAGAGGCTGTCCTGGAACTCGCTCTGTAGACCAGGCTGGTCTGGAACTCACAGAGATCCACCTGCCTCCGCCTCCAGAGTGCTGGGACTAGAGGTGTGGGCCACCATGTCCATCTTAATTTGTTTTTTCCTTCCTCCCTCCCTTCCTTCAGTGCTAAAGATTAAATATGCATGCTAGGCAAGCATTCTATCAGAGCTTTTAACCTCTGAGTCACCTCTCCAGCCACTCCTCCTTACTTTTATTTTGAGACAGGGCCTCTCAGTGGACTGGAAGCTCATCAGTTGTTTACATTGTCAGGACAGCAAACCCCAGAGACCCATCTCTCTCCATCTCCCCCAGCACAGACGCATGCCACGCCCAGCTTTCTTTAATATAGGAGTTTTGAATGCAGGTCCTCAGGCTTGCAACAAGTGTTTCACTCACAAGCCACCTCCCCAGTCATTAAATTTACGTTTAGTTTTGAGACAGGGTCTTGGTAAGTTGCCTAGGCTGTTCTGAAACTTTCTATCCTCCTGCCTCTCACCCTTTCAGTAGCTGGGGTTAAAGGTCCGTGTGTGTAACCCATCCTGGCTTCTGTTCCTGGTCACATTGTATCCTGACAATGCAGCTGCTATTCTGTTAAGGCTACTGTGGACTGTGTCTAGAGACTCAGCTTGGGTCCTAAGATTCTGGTCAAGGTCCAGGCCGAGAGAACCCCAGAGGCTGAAGAGATTTGGCAGTGTTAAACTGAGGAGGCAGGTGTGTGGGCAAGCCAGCCGCCCCAGGAGGCCCTCAGCAAGAGCGTAGTCCCAGCCCCTGGATAGATGTCACGGTGCCCTTGTCTGGGGCTAGCTTTCTCAGGGGTTGCTAAACACCAGGTCCTGGAGCGAAGGCCAGTCCTGAAGGAGCCGTTCTCTCTGCGGGATGCTGCTGGTTAGAGAAAGGTGTTGGTAACGACCGGCCATCTTCCCTGTGGAGCTCTCACACCTGGAACTGCCTGCTGAGCCCAGGGAGAATCTGGTCTTGACTGGGGCAATCCCATCAGCCAGCCACACGATGCAACCCTCTCCTCCCCTCTCTGGTCTGCCTTACCTAGACCTCCTGGTTAGCCCTAGCTCTCAACTTGACAACCTGAGAAGAAAACCTCACTCGAGGAATTGCCTAGCGCAGGTTAGCCTGTGGGCACAGCTGTCTTGAAAGTTGATTTACGCAGAATCCCACTGTGGGTACTTGGGGTGTGGGTGTGAGCGTGTAGTCCTGGCTGTGTAGGAAAAGCCGCCTAAGCCGGAGCGAGTGAATGGAGGGGAGCCAGCAAGGAGTATTCCTCATGGCTCCTGCATCCAGGTTCCTGTCCTGACATCCCTCAGTGATGGATTATGATCTGGAAATGTAACCCAAATGAACCCTTTCCCCCCAAAAGGTGCTTCCAGTAAGAATTTTATCACAGCAACAGAGGACAAACGGGGTATGGTGCCTAATCTCCAGTGACGGGTAAACATCCGGTTAGGCTCCTGTGTGTATTGGGTTAATTTGTTTTTTATTTAATCATACAGTCATAGCTGTAGACGTTCCTTTTTTTTTTTTCTAGTGGGAAGCCACGAAGGAGGGAGGCTCCTTGGCTGCAGGGGAGACGGGGGTGGGGGTGGGGTGGGGGGTGGGAGTGGGGGTGGGGGAGCTGCCCCTCTGGGGCTGGGTCCTCCAGGTCCGTTCCCTCCCCCCACCTGCTGAGGATGGTGAGCTTAAACTTCCCCTTCTGGGACACTCAGACACAGCGCCTCCCAATCAGCTCCTCGGCTGCTGGGGGACTCTGGTCCCTGTAACCAGTTCCAGTAACCCTTGGCCCCTGATAGCCTTGAGGGTGTAGCCCATGACTGGGACCGTGGGGGTGGTTCAGGTTTGTGGGGAGGAGGTTTCTCAGGCAACGGCAGCCTCTCAGGGGCTGCAGTCCTTGACAGGCATGTCCCTGCTTCTACCTCTCTCCATCCCCCGCCCCTCCCTGCACCCTGAGCCCCACAGGAGCTCACCTTATTTCTTCTGCTCAAACTATCGTCTAGATAGTACTGGGCTTTCCCAACCCTCTCTCTTGCTAGTTCTAGCCCATCATTTCTGTGGAACTAATTCTCACTCCTTCCTCTTGTTACCCCCACCAAGAGGCTCACTTGCCTGCACTCCTGGTTAGAAAAAGGGTTCCCATTCTGTAGGTACTCATAAGAGAGGCTGCCAGCCCGGTAGCAAGAATCATAGCCATGGCCACCGAGGCCATCGCTATTAGGGCAACCTCCCGTGGTCTCTGCGGGCCCCTTGGGCTTCCTTGCTTCCTACATATGTACGTACATACAGGGAACCCACTAACACAGATAAGATAAATCTTCCAACCCAGCCAGAGTCAACAAACCTGCTCAGCTTGCTCATGGGTTAGCTGCTTTTCTGAGTGGCAGGCTCCTCATTGCCTAGTGGCTGGCTGGTCTTGGGCATCGCAGGACGGCTCTGAGGACTCAGTGGTTGTGAATACCGATTCCCAGGTCAGAGCTTGGCACACAGAAGTCTTTCGGAATGAAGACATAACAAGGAGCTTTAAAGGCTCACTTCGTCAAGGCTCTGTATGTCTTCCTGAGCATTAATTTCTGGAGTTTCTTCTTGGTTACTGGTATCTGAATGTGTCCCCCTGAATTTGAAGGTTGGCCCCATTTTCCACCTCTGTGTTTTCAAACCTGGTTCTGATGCTGGCCCGCCTGTCTTCCATGGGTTAGAAACTGTGGTGACACCCGGATGATCCAGACACTTTAACCATTGTGGAAAGCATGTTTCAAAGTCAATTTTACAGGAGCTGGAGAGATGGCTCAGTGGTAAGAGCACTGCTGCTCTTCCAAAGGGTCCAAAGTTCTATTCCCAGCAACCACATGGTGGCTCACAACCATCTGTAGTGAGATCTGGTGCCCTCTTCTGGCCTGCAGGGATACATGCAGACAGAACACTGCTATAATTTTTTTTTTTTGAGACAGGGTTTCTCTGTATTGTTTTGGAGGCTGTCCTGGCACTCGCTCTGGTAGACCAGGCTGGTCTCCAACTGACAGAGATCTGCCTGCCTCTGCCTCCTGAGTGCTGGCATTAAAGGCATGCACCACTACTGCCCGGCAAATAAATCTTTAAAAAGAGTCGATTTTACCATATAAGGTCAATCCTTACACTTGTATGAATTAGCATGTGAGCATTTTGAGGACCATTCTTCTGTCCACTGAGACCTTATTTTTTTAAAATTTTTGCATCCCAATCAAAATTTCCCTCTCTCCCCTCTCGTCCGTACCCTATCCACTCCTCTTTCTCCACCATTTCTTCTCAGGTATAGGCAGGCCTCCCATGGATATCAGCAAGCCGTAAGACCCATTTCTTTTTTAAAAATTCCTAGACTTGTCTATTTTTTTTTTTTTTTGGTTTTTACGAGACAGGGTTTCTCTGTATTGTTTTGGAGGCTGTCGGTCCAGCCCGGCCTCAAACTCACAGAGATCCGTCTGCCTCTGCCTCCCGAGTGCTGGGATTAAAGGCGTGCGCCACCACCGCCCGGCTAGACTTGTCTATTTTATGTGTATGAGTGTTTCACCAATGTGTATGTATGTGCACCGTGTGTGTGCCTACAGATGGCTGTGAAGGTTTTCTTCTTATAAGATTTATTTTATGCATATGAGTGCTTTGTCTGCATGTGTGTATGTTCACATACCACATATGTGCCTGGTGCCCTTGGAGGTCAGAAGAGGACATTGGATCCCTGAAACTGGAGTTACACATGGCTTTGATCCACCAAGTGGGCGCTGGGAATCGAACCCCAAGCAGTCGGTGCTCTTAACCACTGAGCCATCTCTCCAGCCCCCTTATTTTTCTTTTAAGAGTCTCACTACATGGTCCTGTGGCTGTCAGAACTCTCTGTATAGACCGGGCTGGCTTTGAGCTCACAGAGCTCTGCCCAGCCTCTGCCTCTCAAGCGCTGAGGTCAACGGCATGCACCCCTGCCTGGCTGTGTTGGAGTTGATCTGTCTCGTCTGACTGACTCCAGCGTGTCCTGCTAGAAGGGCCAATCGAAGCTTCCTTCATCAAGGCTTCAGAAGGGAGAGCACGGACCACACATCTTTGACGAGGTCCGGGCAGCTCTTTGTCAGGTAAGTGGTGAGACATCTGGCTTTCTTCGTAGCAGTGGGGAGGTTTGGGGGTGTAGCTCAGGGGTAGAGTTCTTGTCTAGTATGGACAAAAATCTCCAGGTTCCATCCCCCCCAGCATTTGAATCGCTGTAAATGGAGTTCTTGGACAGGCTTTATTTTTACAAGCAAGATATCACCACAAATCACTCCTTTGCTGATTTCAGGGGCATGGTTGGGTTGTTGGGACACATGGCCTCACAGTTGGGCTCGTCCCCCAAGGGAGCCTCAGCATGGCCAGGCCTGCACTTAAGAGTCCTGGGCCAGCCGGGTGTTGGTGGCGCACACCTTTAATCCCAACACTCCGGAGGCAGAGGCAGTCGGATCTCTGTGAGTTCGAGGCCAGCCTGGTCTACAGAGCGAGTTCCAGGACAGCCTCCAAAGACACAGAGAAACCCTGTCTGGGGGGCGGGGGAAGAGTCCTTGGCCACAGTGACTGAATCACAGTGCTCTTGGGGACCAGAAACATAAATCAACTTCTAAAATCTCACCTGGGGGCCGTGAGTGGTTAAGACCCTGTGTCCTGTTTGCAGGGGGACACAGGGAGCTCACAGCTGTCTGTAACTCCAAGTTCTGGGGGATCCAATACGCTTTTTTGGCTTCTCCCGGCACCACACACACACAGAGTCCACATACACACAAGCAGGCAAAACACTTTTTTTGTTTGCTTGTTTTTCAAGACAGGATTTCTCTGTATTGTTTTGGAGGCTGTCCTGGAACTCACAGAGATCCACCTGCCTTTGCCTCCTGAGTGCTGGGATTAAAGGTGTGTGCCACCAGTGCCCAGCTGCAAAACACAATTGTAAACATACTTAAAACATGAGTTTTTCATGTGAGGGAAGCTGGGTGTTGAGAGGGTGTTGCTGTGTGACTGACATGTGCCCCTGGTGTCCTCAAGGGTGGAGGAGGTGGGTGTTTACTGAGTCCAGCTTTGGGGTCCTGTAAAGCAGGCAGATGTATTCTTCCGGAAGGGGGGAGACTCAGAATCCCCCATTCCCCTGGGTGTGTCTTTCATGACGGCTTCTCAGCATTGGCCGTGGTTCTCACCACCTGGAGCCCTGATTTTTCAGGCTTCTCCAACTGCAGTGAGCTTTGATGCCAGCCACACAAGTCACGGGTGTAGGAAAAGGCACACTTGAGTTTGCTGTCATTGATCTGGCTTAGTTCTTGGATCCATTGGTGGTGGCAGAGAGGGGCGTCGTCGTGTGTGGGAATTCATATCCAAATTTGCTAAGTACAGAAGCTTCCGTTCCTCTTTAGGAGTGGCTGTTGTGTGACTCCATTTCTGCAGAGGGCAAGTTGGGGGTGTGGGGGAGTCAACCAGTGATGATTAAGTGAAATAGTGGCTACTTCAGGGTGGTAAGAATGAGGAGGGGCAGGGAGGGGCAGGGAGGGGCAGGGAGGAGCCTCCTGGGGAGAAGGTGACAAATCACTCTGCTAAGTGCCTGAGTTAAAACCCAGTCACTTAGAGCAGGGCTAAGGAGGCCCTGGAATTGTCATGTGTTGGAAGCCAGCCAGAGTGACACAGTAAGACCTTGTCTCAAAAACAAATCAAACTAACCCAGTCACTGGAGACAGAACCTTGAAAGAAGTCTGTCCTTCTCTCCCTGGCCCTGGCAGACCCAGAGCAACAGGGTCAGTTTGGGTTTTTCGAGACAGGGTTTCTCTGTGTAGTCCTGGCTTTCCTGGAACTCTCTCTGTAGACCAGGCTGGCCTCCAACTCACAGAGATCCGTCTGCCTCTGCCTCATAAGTGCTGGGATTAAAGGTGTGCGCTGCCGCTGCCACCACCAACGCCCGGCCAAATAAGCTTCTATTTATAAGTAGATCATCTCGCATTTTGTTATTACCAAGGCAGAACATTGGCTAACAAACTCCTCCATCAGTGGATAGATGGCTTTGCTTGCTCCCACCCTGTCCTGGATTTAAAAAAAAAAAAATTCTGGAATTGTCACTGTTAGAATGTACCCAGACTATAACACCACCATTGACGCTGAGGAGACCCAGCCATGTGAGTCTGAAAAGCAGTGCCATCGGAAGAGACAGGTCAGCATCCAATGACTCTGGAGCGGTTTGACCTGGGGAAGCTCTCAAGTCAGACTCTCCTTGGAGAGTCAATGGCTGCAAAGGAAGACACTTGCAGGGGCTTAAGGGCTTGCATTTGTTTTTCAGTGAGAGGTCGGATTTGGATGAACAAAAGAGGCCACAGCTGCTCCTCAATATGGTTGAGGAGAGGGTTTATTGCAGATACGAGGGAGAGGAAGAGCCAGAGCCAGAGGCATCCCGGGACATGAGGGTGGGGGTGGGGGTGGGGGTGGGGGTGGGGTGGGGCCGCGTGTGGAGAGGAAGCCAAGACAGAGAAGAGAAAAGGGAACAAGCGGACCAAGAGGCCAGGAGCCACTTGGGAGACAAAGGAACCAGGCAGCTAAAATGGCTGGGTTGTATAGGGACCAGAAGCTGGGGGGGAAGGGAAGTCCAGCCCCTGAGAGGGAGGGGTTTAGTGTAGGGGCGGGGTGGGAAGTGCTGGGAGGAGCCGCAGGTGCTGAGTGAGACTTGTCCTCGGTTTCTCTGAGACCTGACAGGTTTTCCACAGCACAAGGAATTTAGGGGCTAAGACTTTATCAGCATGAGGAGTTTGAGGACCAAGCATGTGGACTTGTATGTTTAGAGTGATTACCCTTGGAGCCAGGTGACTACCGTCTGGGGATCCAGCTGTGTCTCTGTGCAGAATACTTATCCCATCCTGGCTTTGTTTTTTGTTTTTTGTTTTTTTTTTTTTCTCGAGACAGGGTTTCTCTGTATTGTTTTGGAGGCTGTCCTGGAACTCACTCTGTAGACCAGGCTGGTCTCAAACTCACAGAGATCCTCCTGCCTCTGCCTCCAGAGTGCTGAGATTAAAGGTGTGCGCCACCAATACCCAGCCCCATTCGGGCTTCTTGAGGCTTAAGGAGAGTCACAAGACCCACTCATGGGTGTCAGCAGCTCCCTGCTTCCTGTTGTATGAAATTCTGCCTTAATTGCTGGTGGCCTTGGGGAGGAGCTAGCGTATATAAAGGCCAGGGAACACAGTGGAGAGAGAGTTCTATGTAACTATGGGGGGGCCTTCATCCCTGTTGGGTGAAGCCTGTCCATGTATGGAGCACATGGAGACCGGAGGGCTCCCTGAGTGAACGTGCATTGTTGACTTGGGCAGTCATGTCAAGGACTCCATAACCTCAGACTCATGGGAAAATGGCGAAGCCTTCCCCGCTAGGGTGAGTTTCAGAGGGACGACAAATCCTTCTCGGGTCTGGGTATTGATAGTGTGCACAGAAAAAGTCCGCCATAGCTTTCCCTCGGCTCCTACCAAGACTAGCTAAGCAGGTCTCCTTGATAAACCCACCTCCTTGTTGAACTGTGCGCAATAACCCCGCCTCTCTGTTCAACGCCATATAATGAATAAGTTTGTCTTTCTGGGGTGCTACAGCTTCATCGGAGAGCCCGGCCCGGCCCATGCGTGTTCTGGGTGTCTCTGTCTTTTCTTCGTTCTCCTGCCGCCCTAATCACGTCCACCCCCGAAGCCCCGCTGGATGTGACCAACGAGAAGTGAGTGCCCCCAGCCCTGTAAGCAACCCCTTATCTCCGCTCTATAGGGAAGCCGAATAAACTCATTGGCTCCCCAGAGTAAAACTCTGGTAGAACTGTGCCTCAGTTTGTCACTGGGACCCCAGGAGAAGGGGTGGAGACTGTTTGCGTCTTCCTCCTGGGAAGGAATTTTAGCAACAAGACACAAAGACCCAGCAAAGCTTTGAAACCGACCTTTCCGTGGTTTAAGCTACTTATCTCATTTAGCAAATTCCTTATTTCCTGATTCTCACTGTCGCATCAGCTTTTCACGATGGCTCAGTAAGTCTGCTGTTGTTTCTGATTTTAGCCTAGTCCCGGCCCCAGCACGGCTTCTCCTCATCCAGACAGGAAGGCTGTTTCCACAGTTCAGTGGAGGCCTCCAAGGTGCCTTCCCACAGGGCACAGGGTTTGCAACTGGAGATCAGTCACTTAGCATAGGCAAGGCTCTGTCTGTCTTCAGTCGTCAGCATCGGGGATGGCTGCTCTTGCAGAGGACCCAGGCTCGACTCTTAGCACCCACAGGGTGGCGCACAACCATCTGTAAGCCCACTTCAAGGAAATCGGGCGCCCTCTGCTGGCCTCAGCCAGCACTGCACGCACATGGTGCACATACACCCATGGGCAAAACCCCTCCACACAGAATACGAATAAATAGAAATGAGATTGTTCGTTAATTCAGCCTGGTTGCTCTAAGCCTGCATCCTGTCTTCACAAGCTCCCCCCCCCCAAGCAGTGGTGGTACCCATCCCTCAGACTCAGCGAGCTCCCATGAGGCTCCTTAGGCTCCGTTGACTGTGCCCTTGAATAATAGCAGTCTCAGTAGTAGTTGTTTTTTATCTTTGGTGGATACAGTCTCAAAATTTTTTTTGAAAAACTGTATCCGATATATTTAGCATCTGCCACAAATTTAATAATCTCAAGTAATCTACTGAAATAATAGCTTTATTACCCTCTAGAGTGTTTTCGCTTCAGTTGGGTAGGCTTGGTGGGCTTGGACATTGTCGGGATAGAAAAGTAGAGCACCTGCCATGGACCCTTCCCCTGAGCCCCTCCCCCATCGCGATCATCAACTCCATTTCCCTGCAGCTCCAGGTGTGGGGGTTTGGGTGAGGATGGCCCCCTTAGGCTCACGTGTTTAATATTTGGTCTCCAGTTGGTAGAACTGTTTGGGAAGGATTGGGAGGCGTGGCCTTGCCAGAGGGAGGTGTGGCCTTGCCAGAGGGAGGCGTGGCCTTGCCAGAGGGAGGTGTGTCACTGGGAATGAGCTTTAATGTTTCAAAAGTGCATGTCATTCCCAGTGTTCTCCTGTCTCTTAGCTGTGTCTCACGATGCGGGAGCTCAGCCACTGCTCCAACAACAAGCCTGCTTGCTGTCATGCTCCCCGCCATGCCTCCAGCCACGGACTCTAGCCTTCTGAAAGTCTAAGCCCCTAACGGATGCTTCTATAAGTTGCCTTGGCCATGGTGTCTAGTCACAGCAACAGAGAAATAACTAAAACAGCAGCGTAGTGGACCCCGCTTGGGGCAGGAAGACTAAGGGATCTCGCGCGAGGCCTCCGGATTTTGCTGCGGAGACTGTGAAGGCTGCTCCCTCGTACAACTGGACAGCTCCCACCCAGAGCTCTGGACCCCCACCCACGCACACGGGTTCTCTCTTCAGACGCGTAGGGCGTGTTTATTTCTTTGCGAAATGACCAACGCACTATCCTCCTCCCCATGTCGGGTAAAGACCGGAGAAGGAAAGAACATGTCTTTCTCAAGGATGTCAGGGACCCAAACAATGCTGGGAAGGGACTCCCGGGGGTGCAGAAGATGAAGCAGCTCAGATCTCCTCTGAAGGATGCAGTCCTGGGCTTCGCGGGAGGCACTTGTTATATCTCGTTCATCTCCATGACCCCGGACACGACTGGTCTCCTCCAGGACCAGGTAGGGCTCCTCGGAGGTGTATGGGATTCTCCAGGACAAAGGTCAGAGTTGTGGGGGTTGTAGAGGGTTATGTCAGCACCGTTTCTCAGAGACAGGTATCTCCTCTAGGAAAAGAGCCCATAGTATAAGAACCACGTCTCCCTCTTCCAGGCATTAACCACGAACAACTCTGCAACCATCCCCTGCTCCCCAAAGCTCTGCCCTCATGCTCCAACCATCTCCTCCCCCCCTAGGATCCCCCTCCAGTCCTCATCCATTCCTCTTCACACTCTTTGCTCGGACTCCACCGTTTCCTCAGGATGGGGATACACCCTTCAGATTGTAACCCGGTGTTTCTGCTTGTAACTCTCCCCATCTCTGTTTCCTCCCTATCTGCTTCTGGCTTGGAGGCCTCTGCAATCCACCACCCCCTCCTTTCCCTAATAACCTCGTTATGTATCAGGCACTCACCACGAAAAAGACGACCCCAGCAAGGAGGGCCGTGGCCATGACAACAGAGGCCAGGGTGATGAGGAAGATTTCCCAAGGCTTCAGGGACCCGCGGAGCTTCCCTTCGTTGACTGGAGTTCCAGTTGTATTGGTGACGTTGGCGGTGGTGTATATTCTAGTAGGAACTGCCAGGCTAGAGCTGCTGTGGCTGGCTGTCCAGCCAGACTCGGAGGCTGTGCTGGTCCCGGCTGTGATTGAGGTTGGTGTAGACATGGAGGCTGTGCTGGTCCCGGCTGTGTCTGAGGTTGGTGTGGAGTCAGAGGCTGTGCTGGTCCCGGCTGTGTCTGAGGTTGGTGTGGAGTCAGAGGCTGTGTTTGTCCCGGCTGTGTCTGAGGTTGGTGTAGACATGGAGGCTGTGCTGGTCCCGGCTGTGTCTGAGGTTGGTGTAGACACGGAGGCTGTGTTTGTCCCGGCTGTGTCTGAGGTTGGTGTAGACACAGAGGCTGTGCTGGTCCCGGCTGTGTCTGAGGTTGGTGTAGACACAGAGGCTGTGTTTGTCCCGGCTGTGACTGAGGTTGGTGTAGACATGGAGGCTGTGCTGGTCCCGGCTGTGTCTGAGGTTGGTGTAGACACGGAGGCTGTGCTGGTCCCGGCTGTGTCTGAGGTTGGTGTAGACATGGAGGCTGTGCTGGTCCCGGCTGTGTCTGAGGTTGGTGTAGACATGGAGGCTGTGCTGGTCCCGGCTGTGTCTGAGGTTGGTGTGGAGTCAGAGGCTGTGCTGGTCCCGGCTGTGTCTGAGGTTGGTGTAGACACGGAGGCTGTGCTGGTCCCGGCTGTGACTGAGGTTGGTGTAGACACGGAGGCTGTGCTGGTCCCGACTGTGTTTGTCCCGGCTGTGTCTGAGGTTGGTGTAGACACGGAGGCTGTGCTGGTCCTGGCTGTGTCTGAGGATGGTGTAGACACAGAGGCTGTGTTTGTCCCGGCTGTGATTGAGGTTGGTGTAGACACGGAGGCTGTGCTGGTCCCGGCTGTGTCTGAGGTTGGTGTAGACACGGAGGCTGTGCTGGTCCTGGCTGTGTCTGAGGTTGGTGTAGACACGGAGGCTGTGCTGGTCCCGGCTGTGTCTGAGGTTGGTGTAGACACGGAGGCTGTGCTGGTCCCGGCTGTGTCTGAGGTTGGTGTAGACACAGAGGCTGTGCTGGTCCTGGCTGTGTCTGAGGTTGGTGTAGACACGGAGGCTATGTTTGTCCCATCTGTGTCTGAGGTTGGTGTAGACACGGAGGCTGTGCTGGTCCCGGCTGTGTCTGAGGTTGGTGTAGACACGGAGGCTGTGCTGGTCCCGGCTGTGTCTGAGGTTGGTGTAGACACGGAGGCTGTGCTGGTCCTGGCTGTGTCTGAGGTTGGTGTAGACACGGAGGCTATGTTTGTCCCATCTGTGTCTGAGGTTGGTGTAGACACGGAGGCTGTGCTGGTCCCGGCTGTGTCTGAGGTTGGTGTAGACATGGAGGCTGTGCTGGTCCCGGCTGTGTCTGAGGTTGGTGTAGACACGGAGGCTGTGCTGGTCCCGGCTATGTCTGAGGTTGGTGTAGACACGGAGGCTGTGTTTGTCCCGGCTGTGTCTGAGGTTGGTGTAGACATGGAGGCTGTGCTGGTTCCGGCTGTGTCTGAGGTTGGTGTAGACACAGAGGCTGTGCTGGTCCCGGCTGTGATTGAGGTTGGTGTAGACACGGAGGCTGTGCTGGTCCCGGCTGTGTCTGAGGTTGGTGTAGACTCGGAGGCTGTGCTGGTCCCGGCTGTGTCTGAGGTTGGTGTAGACTCGGAGGCTGTGCTGGTCCCGGCTGTGTCTGAGGTTGGTGTAGACACAGAGGCTGTGCTGGTCCTGGCTGTGTTTGAGGTAGGTGTAGACATGGAGGCTGTGGTGGTCTCAGTGGTTTTCATCGTTGTTGCAGAGTTCAAGGTTGTGCTGGAGATAATGCTGCTATTTACTGTGGTATAAGAGAAGGTTTTTTTCTATATGTAATCATTCATGAACACATTTTGCTTCTTGCTTTGTGAAGTTCATCCCAGGGTGATTTTATTCAGTGCTCATGGCTGCTCTATGGACACAGTTAATAATAATTATCTAATGAAGAATGAGAAATATTCATGTTTGCCTGGTGCCTGTGGAGGGCAGAAGAGTGTCTTGGGTCCCCTAATACTGGAATTACAGATGGTTGTTGGCTGCCGTGCACATTCTGGGAATGGAACCTGGGCTCTGTGGGAGAGCAGCCAGTGCTCCAAACTACTAAAACATCTCTCCAGCCCCATAAAAAATCCAATTTTTATAAAAAATATCATAAATGAATTATAGGAGTTGCACCTTAATGGTGTTTGCCTAACATGGGCAAAACCATGTATGTGAACCTCAACACGATTGTACACACACACACACACACAAGACAGAGTTTTACCAGGTAACTGGGTAAAAGTTATATGTGTGCAAATAAATATGTAGCATATTCTGTTGCTGTTATAAGATATCTCAAGGAGGGCAATCTGCAGAGAGGAAGGATTTTATTCACAATCCCAGGTTATGATCCCTCCTTGCAAGGCAGCCAAGGATGACCCCAGTAGACGTGGCTTGGGAAAGACGTGGATTTGACTGGGAACGTTTATTGAAGCGTAAAAATAAAATAAATGAATCAAAAATTCTAACTTGGACGTGGGCTTGGAGAGATGGCTCAGTGGTTAAGCAACATTTGCTGCTTTCAGTGGACCCAGGTTTGGTTCCCAGCACACAGGTCAGGCAGATCACAGCTTCCTCTAACTCCCGTACCCGGGAATCCAGTGCCCCGCCCTCCTCTCCTCCTCACCGTATGCATGTGCTGCATGGATATGCGTGTAGGCGAAATGCCCACACAGAAAAGGTAAATTGCAGCTGGCTTGATTTGGGTTCAAAGTGATAAGTTCCCCCAGGAATCCCACTCCCCTCTTCTACGGAGGCAGACCAGATGTCAGAACTGTGGCATGATGTAAAAGTTAAGTCAGCGTCTCACTCTGTATCAGACTGTCTTCAGACTCATGGTCCTCCTGCCTCAGCCTCCTGTGCGCTGGGACAACAGCCCCCAGGCCTAAAAGCACTGTCCTGGGGGTTTCTCAGACACTACAGTAGCCTGGCTTTCATTGTCATACCTGAAGCTTCCCGGGAGTCCAGCGGAGACCAAACACCCACTGGGGTCTCTTGCATTCTGCTCTTTTGTAGAACCCAGAAAGTTTTTCCCACCTGCTCGGAGACAGGGCTTCCTTCTCCACCTTCTCACAGAGAGAGCCTTGAATTTTATGATCACTGTTGTCTTTGTAATTAATTTGCCAATGAGTTAGTTACTATCTTCTGACCATGTCTCATTTTCAGACAGGGTCTTGCTATGTAGTCCTGACTGGCTGCTGAGACCTCAGGCGCAAGGAACCACACCCAGCTCTACTTGTTTGATTTGCTTCTTCTTCTTTGTGTGTGTGTGTGTGTGTGTGTGTGTGTGTGTGTGTGTGTGCACGCGCGTGTGTGAGCGCTGAGTTTCAAACCCAGGGCCTCCTATATGCCTATGCAAGCACTTTACCCATGAGCTACACTGTAGCGTCCTTCCTCATTCTATCCTGTGTTATTTCAAGATAGGGTCTCACCACATTGACCAGGCTACTGCTGAATGCGCTCAACAGCCCAGAAAAGCCTTTCCAGCTTCCCACCCCAGCCCCACCAGTAGCTGGAATTACAGGCCTGGCCACCGCCCCCAGCTTGGCATCTGGAGCCTGTTCTTGCTCTGAGGATGACTTAGGCTAATGTGGAATCAGACTTACAGACAGAAGGGAAATTCAATGTTGAGAATATGAAAAACTGACATTAAAAAAAAAAGCAAAAACAGTCATCTCAGGGCTAGACACATGGCTCAGCAGTTAAGAGCACTGGCTGTTCTTCCAGAGGTCCCGGTTTGGTTCCCTGTGCCCACGTGGCAGCTCACGGCTGCCTACAACTCCAGCTCCAGGGGTTCGGATACCCTCACCCAGAATATATACAGACAAAACACTAGCCCACATTACACAGATAAATACTTAAACAGTCAACTGTTCTTACTATTTTTTTGCTTGTTTGATTTTTTGAAACAGGGTTTCTCTGTATTGTTTTGGAGGCTGTCCTGGAACTGGCTCTGTAGACCAGGCTGGCCTCAAACTCACAGAGATCCGCCTACCTCTGCCTCCGGAGCGCTGGGACTAAAGGTGTGTGCCACCAAAGCCCAGCCTGTTCTTTTTTTTTTTTTTTTTTTTTGTTCTTTTTTTTGTTTGTTTGTTTTACAAGACAGGGTTTCTCTGTATTGTTTTGGAGGCTGTCAGTCCAGCCCGGCCTCGAACTCACAGAGATCCACCTGCCTCTGCCTCCCGAGTGCTGGGACTAAAGGCGTGCGCCACCAACGCCCGACAGCCCGGCCTGTTCTTACTATTTAACACTGACGCACACCACACAGGTTATACCCCCTTCACAGACACGCAAACCGAGGCACAGGGAACCCAGTCCTCCACGGTGTGGTTACAGGAGCTGTGACTCTGGCTGTGTGCAGTGTGAGACCAGAGCCCACAGTGTAGCCGCCAGCTCCTGGGTGACGGCACACAGTTCCCCTGAAGAGATGAAGTGATGGGTCTCTCCTCTGGGGGAGAACCGGAGCTTGTCACAGCCTCTCCCACCTCCTCAGAGGCTCCCAGGATCCACGTTTAGACAAAACCACTCACCGTCTCCTAAAAGCAGGAGCTGCATAAGCAGCCAGCACCAGAAACTGCTTCCCCTTGGTGTCTTCATCTGCCTCCCTGTGGCTGGCCGGAGAAGATACCTGGGTCCCAAATGTGGCCCAAGTTCTAGAAAGTTCTTGAGGAGGGAGAGATGAAGACGAGCTCCCAGGAGTCCTGTTCTTCTAAGGCCTTTGTTCCTGGGGAGGGGGTGCCTGAGCTGTTAAGTTTCCTCGGCCCTAGTTGTCTGTCTTTTTTCTCATCACTGCTGCGACCTTTATAGATTCCTGTGGGCCAGGGAGAGGCTGGGCCTCTCCTGACAGACTGCCAACCGTGAGCACCTAAGGAAACAGTACCGAGCCGGGGAAGGCAGCGGCCCAAGGGTCAAGGGGACAGGACAAAGAAAGAGTGACAGGATCACCCTGGGCTGGGTTGAAACGGGAAGAGAAAAAGGGAGTTCGAGAGCGTCAGAGAGAAGGGACCCCACCCCTGAAGCAGGGATGGGGTCAGAAACCTGTTCTAGCTCAAGGTTTTGCTTCCTGGTCAACAGATTCCGTGGTTTGGCTTGAGCCCAGAGGAAGCCCCAAGGATCTCAGCTGTAGGGTTAGGACCCTATTGTCACCAAATGAACACACGGGACTCCTGGGTCACAGGTGTGGGGTGGACGGAGGAAGAGACAGACGTCGGGTAGAGAGCCCTTCCTTGGGTCCTATCTCCGTCCGTTTTCTGCTGCCTTGGCTTGGCTTCTGTTGCTGTGACAAAAACACTCTGATCAAATCAACCTGGGGAGGAGGAGACTGATGTATTTGGCTTTCATTTCCAGGTCGCAGCCCCCATTGAGGAAAGTCAGACGTAGGGGCTCAAACAGGAGCTTGGAGCAGAAGCCTGGAGAAAGGCTGCCTTCCTGCCTCGCTCTCCGGCCCCCTTGCCAGCCCACGCTCAGCTCTCTTGTACAGGGAAAGCCCACCTGCCTAGGGACGCTGCTGCCCACAGTGGGCCGGACCCTCCTGCATCAATTACTAATCACGATGATTTCCTACAGACCTGCCCGCAGGCCAGTGTGTTCTAGGCAATTTCTCCGTCCAGACATCTCTCAGATGATGCTAGGCTGTGTCAAGTTGACAATTACAGTCAGTCAGGACAGTGGTGATGCTGGATACTTTATTTTAAAAAAAAAAAGTTGGTTTAGCTCATGCTTTGGGAGGTGCAAAGTCCAAGACTGGACAGCCCATCTGCTTGCCTGAGGTGAAGGCTCTGTTGCAACACGGTGGATCAGGTCACCGCAGAAGCCCGTGTGAGCGGAATAGATCACACGGTGAGACACGAAAGTTTTGTAGGAATACACTAGGCTCTCTCCAGAGCAAGAAAGGCCACCCCCATCATGAGAAAGGCATTGACCCCCCCAAAAAAACACCAGTTATACCTCCCCCTAGGTCCCACCTCTTGACTCTCAACCGTGGGCTCTCCCCTCCCTCCATTGAAGCTTTCCCACATAGGATCGATCCTTCCAGCATGCTGTTTCCAAACAAGGCTTCTCTCAGCAGTATAGGCCCCACCTTGGAAGACCGAGTGTAACGGAAGGAGACTTAGTCTGAAGACCTAGTCTAGTGGAAGAAGGCTTAGACAGTCTTGGGTTCTCTGGGAGTGTGGAGTTTGATCTGGACGCTTGGACGTTGCCGGCAGAGAGTATGCTCACACGGTCAGCTAGGTGGGTGTGACAGGGTTAGATCCAGATCCAAAATGAGCAGAGGGTTTGGGGAGCATGGGGGGAGGGGCACCCTGTGCCACTGGTCCGTCATCTTGACCTGCCCTTCACCCTCCTGTGAGAGCGGAGGTGCTTTCGTGCGAGGGGACACATCCCCGATAGTCTGCGTGCAGGTGAGCGGAGGATCTCCGTGGATGAGACCTGCGGTGAGGGAGCTGGCCCTGAACTGGAGGCTCAGAGACAGGGAGGGGAGTGGAAGGCAGGGGAAGGCCTTGGTGGGCTGCTCCTGAGACTAAGGCAAGAGCCAGCCTTCGGGTGACAAGTGAGGTTCCTGCAACTCTCCAGCTGAAAACCTGGTGGCTCTCCAATTGCCAGCCCAATCCAGACTATGCCGGCAGGAAGGATCTCAGACGCGAATCCAGAGTCTGTGGTTCCAGCAGCCTTCCGAAAGCTGTGCCCTGTGTGCTGATCAGAGCCTGAAAGTGACTAATCTGTGCTCACAACCGGGAACTTGGAACACCTCGATAATTCTCTCGTGACTCATCTCCCAGGTCACACCCGAATGCCGTAAGCGCGTTCGTTCTGCCTTTTGAGATCTGTGAGTGCGTTTGCTTCCTGAGACAGGGGGTGGGGATGGGGGTGATTGCTCCGTACCCCAGGTTGGCCTCCAACTACAGGACCCCCCTCCCCCAAACCCCGCCTTATCGTCCCTGTGCTAGGTGTGTACCACCCATCACACCCGGCAACTTTCTCGCCTTGTCTGTGTCTGTGTGGTGCTTGGGGGTAGAACCCTGCGCCTTCTGCATGTCACCGTAGGGCTCTACATCACCATGGCGCTCCCCCCCCGCTTAAATTCTGCTTTATTGTTTTTCCTAGCTTAGGAGCCATCAGCCAAACATTGTCACACAAATACATGAAGATGGAAGGAAAGCTGAGGGGTACAACCTGAGCACGTGGCCCCGGAAAAAGCCAGGACACAGGAGGCAGGGGCAGAAGGATACAGGGTTCAAAACCAGCCTCGACTACATAGTGAGTTCAGAGCCAACCACACACATTTGGAACCCGTTTACTTTATGGCCTACATTTAACGTTTCTAACCTCGAAAGTCTTCATAGACTTGGACCTGCTTTATTTCGTGTTTGTCTGCACTGAAGATTTCTTTCTTTCTTTTTTGTTTTTTTTCGAGACAGGGTTTCTCTGTGGCTTTGGAGGCTGTCCTGGAACTCGCTCTGTAAACCAGGCTGGCCTGGAACTCACAGAGATTCACCTGCCTCTGCCTCCCGAGTGCTGGGATTAAAGGCGTGTGCCACCAACGCCCGGCTGCACTGTAGATTTCTGACACTGTGTGGGTTTCTCTTAGAGTGTCGCCCGTGGATGCTATCTGAAGGCCGAGCTAAAGGAATGACCTGCCCCAGAGAAGGTGGATAATTTTTCCAAGCACACACAGGCATGGCTGTTTGAGGATTCTTTAAATTGGGTTATGAAACTGAGGTCTTAGCCGGGTGGTGGTGGCGCACGCCTTTAATCCCAGCACTTGGGAGGCAGAGGCAGGTGGATATCTGTGAGTTCCAGGCCAGCCTGATCTACAGAGCTACACAGAGAAACCCTGACTTGGGAAAAAAAATGACTGAGGTCTTTTCAAGTGCATGACTCCAGCTGGAAGTCACCTTAAATACTGTTGAGCTTACTGTTGGCTTCTCAAGGTATGTATGTGTTTCTTACCCTTCCCTGTACCATGCCTAGAGGCAGGTGATTTTACTTGCATTTCCTTCTAGGAAGGATGAGTGTCATTTTAGTTTGTGTTCTCAGGAAGGGTTCCTGATTTAAATGAGGGACTACCGGACAGGCCACCTGGACTGGTCCCATCAGGGCAGAAATACCTTGGGCTCAAATTCCATGGCTGCTTCTTACTTCCTGGATCTTCAGTTTCCTACGTCAACTGAGGTGGGTTTTTGCTTTTCTAGGGTCATGTCACATAGCCCGGGCTGCCGGCAAACCTTTGTCCATCTGGTTGCAGCCCCCCCAAGTGCTGGCTTTGTAGGTGTGAACCACCGTGGTTGGCTAAGGTTTATTTTGTGTATGATTGCTCTATCTGTATGATACCTTTGTGCCAGAAGAGGGCGCCAGATCTCATTACAGGTGATTGTGAGCCACCATGCGGTTGCTGGGAATTGAACTCAGGACCTCTGTAAGAGCAGCCAGTGCTCTCTTAACCACTGAGACATCTCTCCAGCCCCTGACTTCTCTCTTTCTCTCTCTCTTTTTTTTTAATTTAGCACTGTTCACTCTCCTGTCAACTCAACAACTCCCTGAAGAAGATTTGCTGGCCCATCTCTTCTCCTTCTGGGTATGTTCAGTGAGGACCCCTGGTCCGTTACTGAGTGTTGCAATTTCATTCTGTTGCTGTGATAAGACACTCCCATCAAAAGCAACTTAGACCAGGCGTTGGTGGCACACGCCTTTAATCCTAGCACTCTGGAGGCAGAGTCAGGCGGAGCTCTGTGAGTTCGAGGCCAGCCTGGTCTACAAGAGTGAGTTCCAGGACAGCCTCCAAAGCCACAGAGAAACCCTGTCTCAAAAGCAAACAAACAAACAAAAGCAACTTAGACAGGAAAGGGCTCATGCCGTTTACGGTTCCTGGTAACAGCCCATCACCAAAGGAAGTTGAGGCAGCGATCGGAAGGTAGGTCTGTGCTGTGTTGTTCAATTTTGAAGGAAACTGAGTCTCACAGTTCTAGAGCTGCCATGGACCCCTAAAGCTCAGCCCTGTTCTGTTGTAAATTTATTTAAACTTCACTGTAGAGCCTGAAAGATGGCTCAGTGGGCAAAGGTGCCTGCCGTCTAGCCTGACAACGTGAGGGAATTTACTTCTCCAAGTTTTCCTCTGACCTCCATGTGCCCATGAGGCGGGACGCCTCCTGCAGTCAATCAATAAATAAATGTAATAAAATTAAAAAATGAATTCTAGGCTGGGTATTCATGGTGCACACCTTTAATCCCAGCACTTGGGAGGCAGAGGAAGGTGGATTTCTCTGGGTTTGAGGCCAGCCTGGTCTACAGAGTGAGTTCCAGGACAGGTTCCAAAGCAATAGAGAAAACTTGTCTCAAGAAACCACTAAAGGGCTGGAGAGATGGCTCTGAGGTTAAGAGCACTGGCTGCTCTTACAGAGGACCTGAGTTCAATTCCCAGCAACCACATAGTAGCTCACAACCATCTGTAATGAGATCTGGTGCCCTCTTATGGCCTGCAGGGATATGTGCAGGCAAAACACTGTATACATAATAAATAAATCTTAAAAAAGAAAGATTTATTAAAAAAAGAAACCACTAAAATAAATAAATAAATCTATTTAAATGTCACCAAAACCCCGCTGTTTGGATACTAGAATGGTGATTTTCTTTTTCCAGTGAGAAGCCCCTTAGACCTTCTGGTATAGTTTCTACTGATGCAGGACTTGACCTTGGTAGGCCAGAGATTTGTTCCTGAGTTCTTTGGTGACTTGGGCTAGGACCAAAGTCATAATCCACCCCGCTGACATGTCTCAGTATCTGACAGTACTAGGAAGGGTTCCCCTGTTTCCACATAGGCTCACTCTCCATGCAGAAACTCGGTCCCACAACAGCCTTGGAAACTAAAACCAGAGTAATGAGGGACAGGGGTGAAAATATCCAGCTGTTTGTTTGAGGGGGATTGCTCATTGACACTGGCTCTCTTAAATGGCCTGTCTTTGGGAGAGGCAGTCGCTTGGTAGATGGACTGTCTGGTCGTTGTCGTTTGAGTATAACTGGCCCCATAAGCTCACAGGGAACGGCACTATTAGGAGGTGTGGCTTTGCTGGAGTAGGTATGGCCTTGTTGGAGGAGGCGTGTCACCGTGGAGGAGGGCTTTGAGGTCTCCTACGCTCAAGCTACGCCTAGTGGCACAGTTCACTTCCTGTTGCCTGGGGATCAAGATGTAGGACTCTCAGCTCCTTCTCCAGCACCGTGTCTGCCTGCGGGCCGCCATGTTCCACCCTGATGATGGTGGACTAAACCTCTGAAACTGTGAGTCAGCCCCAAGAAAATGTTTTCCTTGAAAAGAGTTGCTGTGGTCATGGTGTCCATTCACAGTCACAGGAACCCTAAGTGAGACACTGGTCCTCCTGATGCATGGATGAGGAGGTCAACGCTGCCGCCACATAGACAATGCTCAGGCGAGAGGCATTTGGAGCTGCTGAGATCGCGCAGGTGTGTGTGTGTGTGTGTGTGTGTGTGTGTGTGTGTGTGTGTGTGTGGTCCCTTCCAGGATCATGGAAATGGAATCGGTGGTGATCACATCAGGTGCTCTAGTTCCTGTGGAAGACGCTGCCATTGCCCAGGGTTGCTAGTGGAAGTGGGCTGGAAGCCAACATGAACACAGAACCTGCAGAAGAGGAACCGACAGTCTCAGAAGTGGTGGTGGGGGAGCCCTAAGGTGGTTTCAGGAAGCGTGCTGGGGACCTCGTTGGCACAGACTTTGTGGTGGAGGGTGTGACAGTCTGGGAGGCTGAAATGGGTGCGGTGGTGGTCTCAGAGAGCGTGGTGGAAGCGCAGCGTGTGCCGACATCGTCGTGGAGATTGTGGGAGGCAAGGGTACTGTGACGGCAAGCTAGGTGACCGTGGGTGAGCTTGGGTCATTTCAGAGCTCGAGGGAAGGAAGGATCCCTGGTGTGTTGGGAGGGTTAGGCCAGTATCCGTGGATGCACAGCACCGACAATGGGTAGCTTTGGTGTGTTTGGCTTGGCTGTGGGAGAGAAATCTGGGCTAGCCCACCTGTGATTAGGGCAGAAACTGACCTAGTAGATCTCATGCTGGGAGAAGGGAATCCAGAATCACAGCAGCTGTTTCCACAGAAGAGATCCAAGCCCACCCACAGGGAGGAGCCTCAGGGGAAGGGAGGGCTGCTGCAGACAAATTGACGTGGTGCCTAGGCTCTGCCCTCTGGGTCTTAGGCACCCCAAGCTCCAGAAGTGACCCTTAGGAGGCACAAGGACACAGGCATGCGGAAAAGGAGGTATTCCCCTCAGACCTGCTCATTACGGAGTTATGCTTCCTGTGGGTCCAGCCCGGAGCTCATTAAAGGACTTCCCTGTGGTTTCAGAGTAATAATTAGTGAGGAGAGACTGGAGCCCCAGGGGAGCTGTGCTCAGCTGGATCCAAGGCTCTAAGGGGGAAATAATTATCATTATTAGCATCCAGATGGGATGACTCCAGTTCAGAGGCTGGGGCTCAGCTGGTCAGCATACTGGCAGCCCAGGGTCACTCACTGTGTGCGGACGGCTCTGCTAAGTCGCATCTGCCCAGGCAACCAGAAACCACACACCCTTTCCTTCTTCCAGGAGACCCTGCTTGACACAGGCTTCACCAGAGAGTTACGTCTGGGTCCCTCTGGCCCCCCAGGTATCCTTTTTCTGAAGCCCAGCTGCCAACTGCTCCCAGCAGAGCCTGTCCCCTCCATGGGACATCTAGAGAGACTGTCTGTCCAGAAGCAGCTCAGATAGTTCAGGACCATCAATGTCAGGGCTGTGATTCTGACCTTGGGGGGGGGGAGGCTTCCTAATGCCTAGAGATGTGGGAAAGAAAAGTGGCCAGATAATGACCCTGTTGTGGAGTCTGGCTGGAAGGCCTGTGGCACACTGAGTGTCTAGTCAGCCACCTTTCTTCAGGATCAGTGGACATCAAGGCTATGTGGGTGATGGGCTGGTTCCGTGGTACTTAACGGTTTTGGCATCTTAACAGAGAGACATAGCAGCTTGTAAATGCTGGTTTAATTACCCAGGTTATTTAATCTGCATAGCACTTTTGCCTACATAGCACTTCTGTCTGCACAGCACTTCCTGTGGTGACTCTTGCGGAAGTCTTTTAGCATTCCTCATTTCTGTCTCAGGCAGGCACCTCGTCATATACGTCTTTATATCAACAAACTGTAGATGTTGGGTGCTTAGAAATGCTGCTTCTGGGGCTGGAGAGACGGCTCAACAGTTAAGAGCTAGCAGTGCTCTTACAGAGTCCTGAGTTTGGTTCTCAACACCCATACTGGGCGGTTCACAACCTCCTGTAATAACTCCAAGGCCAGGAGAATCTGCTGCCCTCTTCTGGCCTCTGAGGGTAACTGCATATGCACACACACACACACACACACACACACACACATACACACACACACACACACACAGAGTCTTAAAAAAAACTTTCTTATCAACACTGAATTCCCCACCCCTCTCCCTTTGTCACTGTGCGCAGATAAAGCTACGATGAATTGAACTGAGCTTCTACCTAATCCCAGAAATGACCATTTTAGAAACAATAGAAATTCTGTCTCCTCTCTCTGGCCCTTCAAAGAACTCCTGTCCTGCCCTCCAACCTCTCCTGTCCAGGGTCACCCACCAAGGTCGCGGGACCAGGGACTCAGTTCTTCCCCCCTGAGAGTCCAAGGAGTCTGGAGTCATCTGTACCTTACAAATGCATCCCGCTTTATTACAGACGTCCAGCAGAGGGCGCACCGCCCCGTCGATACCAGGTTAAAGGATGGAATAAATTGGAAAGGAGCCCCAAAGCGCACCGAGATTACCTGCTATAAGGCTGGAAAGTCAGAGCACGGTGGGAGAGTGAGGACAGGGGGCGCGCTGGGGGAGAAGACGCTGATTCTGCAAGAGGAAATCGGCGCCGACTTTTGGTGAAAGATGCGGGAATAATTGCGGAGTGAGTGCATCACCAGGGAAGGTCGGGGGCGAGGCGGGTGGGCAAGGCTGCAGGCCAACATAAACCCCGCTCTCTGTGTGTACCCAGCCCTCAAACAGAAAACCCGCCGCAGACATCCAGGACAACCAAGGGAGTCACAACGAGGCGGGGAAGAACCACGGAGAAGGAGGAGTTGTTTTGTGATCTTTGCAGGGTTGGGTGTGTGCGGGGGGGGGTCTCTCTCTCTCTGTCTCTGTCTCTGTCTCTCTCTGTCTCTCTCTCTCTCCAGGCAATGGAGAGGATGGGAAAGAAAACACTCCGGTCTTCCTTTATTCATGAGTCCTTTTTTTTTATTAAAAAAATAAGATCTAGTATTCTGGGAATTCAGAAGAGTGTGCGGCGGGGTGGTAGACAGAATTACGATAAATTAGTTTTTAAACCTGAGCCCCTGCCTCCATCCCTCGAGCCTCCCAGGGTCCTCTTCACTCTTCCAAGGCGCCTACGCCTCACATAGCCACGCCTCTCAGAACTCAGAGTCCTGTACCGGCCCCGCCCCCTGCCCCCCCCCCCCCCCCCGCTGTCCATTGAACGCCCTGTCCTCTCCTCGACACCTCGCTCCTCAACCAGTCCGTTAGGAAAACCCGGCCCTGCAGGGCTTGCAGCTGTTATCTGTCAGCTTTTGCTGCTCTTCCTGAGTCCCGGAAGTTGGAGTCTCTAAGCAGAATTCATCTTCCAGGAAAGGGGCGAAGCCTGGAGGAGTTGGGGGGATGCACGTCTCAAGGTCACGGAGGGGAAGGGATCTGGTTCGGTTTCAGGTTCTGCTGCTCCATCAGGTAGACGGGGTAGGAATTGCGGCCCCCTCTGTCCTCAGGGTCGAAATCCTCAGAGTCCTGGGCCGGCACACGGCGCGTTCTCCAGGCACAGGCGACCTGAGATGGCAGAGAAAGGGGTAAAGCTCACCACCCTCTGTCTGATCTCATCAGCCACCCTTGGGGTCTTCCTCTCTGACCCTGCACCTTCTGCTTGTCCGAGAGCCTATTCAAGCCTCGGTCCATATCCCAGACCTGGATCCAATGCAGAGTCCCGGATTCCACTCGCAACCCCCTCCTGCCCTGTCCCCCTTGTCCTTCCATCCAAACCCTCACACCCAAGACTGCAGCAGACCCCCATTTCCCCCCCCCCCACACCCCTTCCATCTCAGCTGCAACCTTCTCTTCCAACCGTTCACGTGGTCTCCTGGACCTGCTGGTTTTCGGCTGATCTCACACCCCACCCCAACTCTAACTCTCTACCTCCGACCCCTTAGCCTCTCCTCGGTCTCTGACCCCCACCCCCGCCCACCCCACCGCCCTTACCAAAACGATCAGGCCAATGCAAATCAGCAGGACAATCACCGCCAAGAGGATCACAACAACTATGGCCCACGCAGGGAATGAACTGCCGTCCCTGCTTGCCCCGGCAGCATGGAGGCCTCCAGGTGAACTGTGGCTGCTCTGCTGGGGGTGCTGGGTTTCTGAAGGGACGGGTCCCAGGTCCGTTCTGGTTGTCACAGAGCCGAGGAGTCCCCGGCGTGTGGTCTCGGTTTTATGGAAATGAGGAGAGCGAGCAGTAGACTTGCCCTCTGTGGTCCTGGCTGGAGGTCCTGTGGTCGCCAAGACTGCTACTGTTTTCTCTGGGTTTCCTGTAGTTCTTATGGCCACAGTGGCTGGTGTGGTCTTCCTCCAGAATACTGTGGGACTTTCTGAGTCTTGTGTGGCTTCCTGGGGGGTTGGTGCGGCCTCTTCTGGGTGTTCTGTAGACTTTGCTGAGACTCGTGTGGTCTTTACCTGGGCTGGTGTAGTATCAGGTCCTAGAGGCATCAATTGGGTTCCTGTGGTCCTCTCATTAGCTGATATGGTTTCTCCCTCATGCTCTGTAGATGTTGCTTGGGCTCCTGTGGTCCTGTCACTGGCTGGTTGAGGCTCTCTTTCAGACTGAGTGGCTGTTGCACGGGATCTTGTGGTCCTGTCACTGGCTGGTTGAGGCTCTCTTTCAGACTGAGTGGCTGTTGCATGGGATCCTGTGGTCCTGTCACTGGTTGATATATTCTCTCCCTCATGATCTTCCAGAGTCACTTGGGTTCTTGTGGTCTTGTCACCGGCTGATGTGATCTCTTTGGTGTGTTCTGTAGTTATTTGGACAGGTTTGTCTGAGGTAAAGGGAGTCCTGTGATCTCCAGCCTCTGTTGTTGCTGGGGTCCTTGGAGTCCTGTGTGAGGTCCTTGGAGCGCCTGAGGATTTTCCTGAGGAAGGTGTGGTTTTTCTACTGAGCTCTGAGTCATGGGAAGGAGTTGTGGGTTTGTATGAGGTGGTCCTTTGCCTAGTGCTGGTGTCCACAGGTCTCGATGCTGTATCCGAGTTCCTCGTTACTCTGATTTTGCTCGTTGTGGACTTACAAGTTGTTCTTCTCCTGGGTGCTGAGGTTGACTGGCTTCCCCCTGATGCTTTCTCTGTGTTAGTGGATTTGGGGTCGTCGGCCGAACGCCCATTCCGGGTCATTGGGTCTCTTCTTTGGCTGCTGGCATTCTTTTCCACAGCGGGAGTCATTTCATGATGAGCAGTGGTGTTTTGGTTATCTGCGGCTTTGGAGTTGTCTATGGGTTTATGGACTGGTTTGGCAAAGCGTACTGTATTGCACGGTTTTTTTGGCTTCTGGGTTACTGTAGACTTAGGAAGGGCTGAAGGTCGTTGCCCTGGGTCCAGATCAGCATGGGCAGAAGGAGACCTGTGAGGAAGGCCTGGGGTTAGGGTGAGTAAATGGTCAGGTGTTGAAGGTTCACCAGTCTTCTGAGGTCCTTGGAATGTGTTAGCACCTGTGGAGAGACAGACAGATAAGACACTTCCCTAAAATCTTTCCTGCCTCTGTGCTAGGCATCCTTGGGATGTACGGATGCCTGCTCGGGAAGGTTCGTTAGAATACCACACTGTGTAACCCCATTCCCGCCTCTACCCGCTGAACTTCTTGCTCAAACTGTACCTTGAGCAAAAATGTAGCCTCTTCCTCCCCACATCCATTCCTCAGCTTTACTCTCAGCCTCTGGAGTCTCTCTTGGCTCTAGATCTAGTTAGTTGGCTCTGGTTTGGTTGACATGGTCTCTCCCTCTCACCCCATGGGCACTGCCTGGACTCTTGTGGTCCCCCCATTGGCTGACACATTCGCGGTCAAAAAACGTCAACTCCTCCAATCGCGTTTCGCTTCCTCTCCCCGGAGACCCCTCGGCGAGGAGGAGCTGGAGGAAAGGAAACCCTTGTGTTCCCGCAACACTCCAGCTCCATTCCAAATGTGACAATGTGAGAGACTGAGGCAGACTCCTGGCAGAACTGTTCAGGTGGAGAGGAGGATAAGGCTGGAAGAGGACTGGGAGGGAAACCGTGAAACTTCCCTTCTGGTGACGGAGTCTGGTCTGAGTGGAGGGAGGCATCCGGCCCCCGTGGTCCACCCACATTGGGCCTCCCTCTTTGGACACATGTCTGGGAGCAGATGAGGGTGATTCTTTTGGCAGAAAATGGTCTCTCCTCGCAGGTCCTGACAGGGGAGAGCGAGTCTGCTGGATTCTGGGAGGGGTTCTGTTTAGGGACAGGGTGTGAAGGAAAACACACCTCTATCAGGTGCGCGCCTTAATTCAAGGAAGAAACAAGTGGACAGGGACAGCTGTGTCTCCGGTTCTGACCACAAGAGCGGGAGACAGGAGGTTACCAGGGAGTGAAGAGACGGCTGAGGTTGCCAGCACCGTTTGGCTCAGGGTGGCACCAAGGATCTGGACTGATTCCCGGTCATGGGAAACTGAGACCCGCCCACCTTCCCAGCTGAAGGCTAGGGATTCAGTCCTAGAGAGAGGCGTGGGAAGAGAGGACAAGGGCGTGAGGAGACTAGAGATGCCCACGTCCCACGAGGGAACCGAGTTTACAGGTGCAAGGGGGAGGCCTCAGGGTTGGTCCGATCCCCCTTCCCTTGACAGCACTGGCTTCTCAGTGATCGGGAGCCCCGTTTTCCACAGCATAGAGCCAGATTGCCCCCAGAGGAGTTAAATGCTCCCAGATTGTCACTACCGGGAGGCGGGGCCAACAAAAGGAGGTTAGGTTATGGCAGCATGCCCTTGGAGAGACTGCTAAGACACCGGCTTCCATCCTCTTTCCTGTTCTTGACCAATCAGTGAGTGGCTTCACTCTGTCACGCAGTCCCATCTCGAAGGGCTGCAACAGGCTCTGAGCCCCAGGGCCATTTTTTTTCCATGGGCGCAGCCATCAAAAACTATGACCCATAACAAAACTTTCGTCTTCATAGTTGGTATCTCAGGCATTCTGTTATGGTTACAGAAAGTTAGCACGGTAAAGCCCGGCACTTGATTTCCCCACGGTTTTGCTTCCAGGCCTCACCAGGCTGTGAGAAGCTGTCAGTCCCCCCAGTTTTCCACCTGGGACACTGGAATCCCATGGAGGAGGCGACGCCCCCTTAGCAGTAGCAATGGCAACTTCTCCTCCTCCTGCATTTCCTCCCTCGTGTTAGGGTTACAGTTGTGCAGCAACCACAGAGCAAACCCTTCCTCCCTCTCAGAGATCCTCGCTGTGAAAAGTCCATCTTAGCAGGAATCTTCTACATGCTGTATTATTCGAACATACTCTCTCCAGCCTGACTCAGGGCTTTCGAGCATGCGTGGTAAGAAGTCTACCCTTGTAGCTGCATCCCCAGCCCCTGTTCCCACCTTCCCCTGCCCGAACCTCCCTGCTGTGATTTAATCCGGGTGCTGCCCCTGATTCTCTGGGACTTCCTCCGGCAGGCTCTGGAGTTTCTGTGCCCTGCCTGAGTCTGGGGACCAGCAGGCCCTGTGGATAGAGGCTGGGCCAGCACAGTCCAGGGGGCTTCACCCACCCTGAGTGGTCTCCTCTCTCTCCCCCCTGACTTCTCTCTCCGTTGTACACCGTCGTGTGTCCCTCCCTGGCGCAGCCTGCGCCCCCCGCTCTCCGACTTGTCACCGTCTGGCTCAGACGTGCCTGCGCACCCTCCAGTCTCTCCCAGCATCCTGCCCTCCACCCCAGAGCTCCGAGGGCGCTCCCTGACCACACCCGTCACTACTACAGCACCCTGCCTTCTGTCCTGATGCAAATCTCCAGGTGACTAGGGCGAGCTTGCTCCCCTGCGCCCCCTGCTGGGCTTGTTCCGCTTGTGCAGCGGCTTGACACCCAGGTGGATCTCGGCTGATACAGGGGAAGAGAAGCAGGTAGGGAAGCTGAGGCGGCCTCCAGGGCTCTGCCACAGGACCCTCTGGGTGGGAGCAGAGACAGCAGCTCAGGGTGCCGACAGAGCACATGGTAGAGGTCTATCGGAGGCGCTGAAAGAGTCTGAGCTCCCAGCCCTGCCATCCCGTGGGACCCCAGCAAGACCCTGAGCTCAGGGCAGGAGCCCCGGCCTAGGTCCACCCCTAGTTGGGCCTATTGGAAGAAGAGGCTGCTCACTATGTCCCAGAAGCAGCCACCCCCAGATCTCAGGTTTGGGGTCTCACATCTGCTAGAGATGTGGGGACTCAGCACTTTTTTCTACGTGATAAAGACCCTCCTGTAGATGCCCAGACCGCCTCAAAGCGCCCCTGCATTTGGCATCTCTGCTCCCTGTCTTTTAACTAGTGAATAGACCTAGCATTGCCACCCACTCCCCTAACATCTATGCGAGGCAAACTTTTCTTATCCAAGCCTTGGGATGTTTTCCACCTATCAGATGGGGACAGAACCTCACTGAGCCGTCATGAGGGTCAAACCATGCCTGGTGCAGAGTAGGTTGGATCCCAGCCACTGGCCCAGGCTGCCAGCATCCTTCCTGCTGTACCATTGACAGGTGAGCTAAATGGATGGGTCAAGTTGAAAAGCCGGGTTGGGTCTGTATAGAACCTTCCGGACCACCCTGTGCTCTTTCTTGGCCACAAAGCTTGCCCTCCCCTGGAAGATGGGTATCATGGACCCTCTGGGAGACTAAGGAGACGGTGGGAGATGAAGTACCATGAGCATCAGTGGGTTCCTGTGCCCAGTATGTGCCCCCTCCCTCGCCTGTCCCCCTAGAACTGAAGTCCACACAGTGTCTTTATGCAAGCTTGAGGCTGTGAGCTGGTGTAGCCCCTCAGACTGTCTCAAAAGAGACAGCAGGATCTAGATCCCTCTCCTGCATGTCGTGGACTCTCTAGGCTGCTTCACGGCCATCCACGCCGCTCGCCGTCATTCGTTTCTGCGAGTGAGTGCACCCAACCCCGCCGATACCGAGAAATAAGACCCTTCGTGATTTCTACCCCCCCATATAGTGGGGACCCCTTTACCTCTCGGCATCTTACCTGCCTCCCAAGAAGCTGGAAGGAAGAGGAGGCAGCAGATGAAGCCAAAAGTGGAACAGAAGCCACTGGTCAGCTGAGCCATGTCAGAGCTGGGAGGCTGCTGAAGGACCACGGGCCGGGGGCCCTGCATCTTATAAGGGGTCAGGTTTGACGTCATGGGGGCTGAGGCTGTTCTGAGGTAAGCCTTAAGCAAATGGAGCTGCCCCACCCACAGGGGCGCCCTGATAATGGGAGACCGCAGCTGTGTCATAGCGCTAGGTATACCTGGGTTCCACCAAAGGGCCGGGATCTGGAGGACATGGAAACGATCTGGGTGGGGCAGCCAGCCTGCCTCCTTATCCAGCCCCCGCAGAAGGAATGGCTTGTATTGGGGTGGCCTGCAGGCTCTGAGCCAAAGCTCATGTTCTAGAAGGTTTGGACAGGGCGCAGGACGGGTCCCGGCTCTGGGAGGAGGCACACACTAACTAACCCTCCCGTCTCTCTGTCGTCATCCAGCCCCACACCCCTTACTCACACACGGCCACGCTTTCTGCCCTGGGTGGAGTGTCCCCAAGACCGGGTGAAAGAGCAGACGAGGGGGCAGCCCTCACAGGGTCCGCTGCACACTGACACAGCTGCTTTCAGACAGTGACGGGGACCCCTGAGACTGACTGTCATCATTTGTTCAGCCTTTGGGGACATCTGTCCTTCCCATCCATCCCTCCCCTGCCATCCAAGCCCAGCGGCTGCATCTACCCCTGCTCGGAAATGTGCACCTCTTACTTTTAGACGTTTCAACACCCCGCCCCCACTTTCTCCTCATTGAAAGGTCTCAGTTGTGGGGCTCCAGGGGGAATCACCTGCACATCTCCTTCCGTTAACCCTGCACCTGAGACCTCACTCACTCCCTACCTAAAGCAAACATCAGCTTAGAGACCAGCCCCACGGGGGCTCTTAGAGAGAGGAGCCCCCACCCCTCCCTAAAGCCGTTCTACTTGAAGGCCTCCTACGCCGTGGGCACTCCTGGCAATCAATGCCTTTGCCCCATCACACCCATAACCCCCGACAATGCCTGACATGCAGGAGACAGCCAGTCGGTGGCTCCTTTGCCAGCGTCAGGGTTGTGACTCGGTGGAGAGCGCTTGCTTGACATGCACAAGGCCGTGGGGCTCAAACCCCAACACCCTAAACATTTGCGAGTCTCCTGGTGGGTTGGAAGCAGGGCTGTTGCTCCCCGAGGGAAGTGAGCAGCAGAGGGTGATGGAGAGCCCTGAGGTCTTTCAGGTAGGAGGCCCCGCAGCTGGGGCCCCTGGGGCTCATGAGGGCTATAGTATTAGCATGACTGGCGCTGCGCCCTTAGGCAGGGCTGGATCGGGGAAAGGGGAGAAGCAGCCACCTGCCCATGAGCGCAATTAATGGGAGGTTAATGAGCCTCTGCAGCTGTGCCTGAGCCTGGTGGCTCAGAACGGGGCAGGCTGTGACACGGACAGCGCAGCCCGCAGGATGTGGAAAGGGAGTCCCTGAGGCTCCGTCGGGACTCCTCCCCCTCCACGGATCCTCTCTGCCATTCCTCCTCTAAGGTCCCCAGCACGCTGTGAGAAGGGTCAGTTCTGCCTCCCCTGGGGGGATGCGGCAATTCTGGGAGCTATCCTTGTGAGATGCAGTATCCAGTATCGGTATCTAGCAGGAGGCGGCTAGAAAGGCTGCTGGCCCTTTGTGTGGCTCGGAACACCTTCCAGATTGAAGAACCAACCGTCCAGCCTGATGTGTCAGTGGTGCCAAGGGCAAGGATTCCTGTTTAGAATAAGCTTCAGCCAGCGCTGCTGAACAAACACCCTCTTCCCACTTTTGGCCACAACTCACAGACCACCCAGGTGTCTAGAGAAGAGGAACGTGGTGTAGGTAGAGGCCTCTCGGTTTGGGTGTCGTTTTGGTTTTATTTCTTTTTTTTTCTTTTCTTTTTTTTTTTTTTGAGACAGGGTTTCTCGATGTTACAACTCTGGCTGTCCTGGAACTCGCTCTTATAGACCAGGCTGACCTCGAACTCACAGAAATCTACCTGCTTCTGCCTCCCAAGTGCTGGGATTAAAGGCGTGCGCCACCAACGTCCAGCACCTCTCTTTTTTTTTTAAATAATTCACTACATGTCATTCTTTTAAGTTTGCTTTACTATGTGTGTATGGGTGTTTTGCCTGATGTGTGTCTATGAACCACTTTTGCACAGTGACCATGGGAGCCCCTGAGCTGGAGTTACAGACAGTTGTGAGTCATCGTGTGGGTGCTGGGAATTGAACCCTGGTCCTTTGGGAGAACAGTCAGTGTTCTCAACCTCTCAATTTGTTTTTTTTTTATTTTTCCTTTTACTTGACTTAATATTCTCTCTCTCACCCCCCCCCCGTGTGTGTGTGTGTGTGTGTGTGTGTGTGTGTGTGTGTGTGTGTGTGTGTCCTGAACCCCAGACTGGATTTGCTCTTGCTATGTAGCTGAGGATGACCTTGAACTCACGATCTTTCCTCCTCTACCTCCCATGTGCTAGGATTATAGGCATACACCACTATGCCTGGCTATTAAATTGTTTTTGTCTTTTTTTTTTCTTTGAGCTAGCATCTTGGTATCGTGCCTTGGTTGACATGGAACTCACTATGAAGGCCAGGCTGACCTCAAATTCGTACATGGCTGCCCTTCTGCCTCTGCTGCTTGGGTGCTGAGGTTACAGGAAGAAACTACCATGCCTGGCCCAAGATGGCATCTCACAGTCACAGAGGTGACTTGGAGTCGGAAGCAGAGTCACTGGAGCCTGGTGACTCATGGTGGCCAACCATCTCTGTGTACATTAAACATCTCACCTGTGAGAACTGATGAGGTCAGCAATGCCACCTTGGTTTTTTTCCAGATGAGGGCAAACGGCTCTCAGCCATCTCCGCCCTACCCCTCATGAGCATTGCTGACGGTCAGCCTGATGGTGGCGATGAGAGAGGTCACCGCTGCACCCCAGACTCTCCTCCCTCAGGACTGGCATGTCAGTGCGATGAAAAATGGGTAGGATATCAGGACTGGAGAGATGACTCAGAGGCTAAGAGCACTGGCTGCTCTTCTAGAGTTCCTGAGTTCAGTTCTCAGTAACCTCATGGTGGCTCACAGCCATCTGTAGTGAGATCTGGCGCCCTCTTCTGGAATGCTACACATCTGAACGCTGTATACATAATAAATAAATCTTTTTTTTTTAAATGGATAGGATGGGCTGGGCGTTGGTGGATCACGCCTTTAATCCCAGCACTCGGGAGGCAGAGGCAGGTGGATCTCTGTGAGTTTGAGCCAGCCTGGTCTACAGAGAGAGTTCCAGGACAGCTTCCAAAACAATACAGAGAAACCCTGTCTCAAAAAACAACAACAACAAAAAAAATTATTACAGAGCTCGTCAGTAAAGCGTTTGCCATGCAGGCATGAGGGCTCGGGTTCCGTCACCCACATAAAAAGTCTGGCATAGAAGCTGGAGAGATGGCTCAGGGGCTAAGAGCTCCTGCTGCTCTTCCAAGGGGCCCAGGGTTCGATTGCCAGCACCCATATGGCAGCTCACAGCCATCTGTAACTCTGGTTCCAGTGGGGGGATCTGACACCCTCTTCTGGACTCTGAGAGCACTGCACACATGCAGGCAAAACATTCACCAGCACAAAATAAAAACAAAACCTCAAAGGTGGAGGGTCCCCACGGCCCAGATTTCCCACCTGGAAAGCCACTGTGCCTGGGATGTTAAAGACGCCTCTTGGCTGGGGCAGGTGAGGCCTCACCCACGCCTCCCTTAGCGGCCCACATTCCAGAGCCCTTCTCTGGCAGGGATGATGGCAGCTAAGAACAGTTAATCATTAATCCCTCAAGAACCTCAGAGGGGCCCAGGCTTAGGTGGGGCCCCACACCTGCAGGAAGGCCCCCTCTTGTCCCCACCTCTCTCTCTCTCTCCAGAGGTCTGAAGCAAACAATGGTGAGGGGAGCTACCCTCCACATTACCCAGTGAGTGGCCCTCTCCAGGCTCATGGGAACCACTTTGGGAGAACTGGAAAATCCAGTTGTCGAGGCTCTTGGTGCCCCCAACACCAGCACCGAGGAGGGCCCCGGTGTGAAGGGACACCATTTCCACATATCTTGCCACTGTATTAAGAAGTGAGGTAGCCACAATGGGGCCTCCGATGTCCCTCTTCCTCCTCCTCCTCCTGGCCCTCCTGGACAGCTCACACGCAGCAGGTGAGGGCTGGAGGTGAGAGAGGGGAGGGGATTCCTTGGTACCGAGTCCCTGATCTGGGATAGCACTAGGGGAAAGGCAGTCTGGAGGGGGTGTGGGACGAACCTCCCTGGTGGGTAGCCCCACCCTGACTGCAGGGTCTTGAGTCACATTTCTGGGTTCCCAGGGCCAAAGGTGACTTTGAAAGTAAAGCTAACGGAGGCTTTCCGGGCCAAGGCCTCCCAGGACGCCAGCTTTCTGGACATGCTCCAAAAGGTATTTCTGAGAAAGGGGATAGTGGCGGTGCTGTGTGCTTCCCTGAGTTCCTGGGGGGCTCTGCTGCGCTGGCTGGGCCCGAGCGGGGAGTGGGGTGCTGTCTATACCTCGTCTTCTACTCACTTTTGTTCCCCCAGATCTGCATCCTCCTCCACCTCCCGCCGGGGGCCAACATGACCCTCCATCACAAAGGGCCACCACACCATCTAACCTGCAGACCCTGAGGGCAGCCAAAGCCTGTGTGGGCCTCGGAGCACAGGCTCCGGGGAGTGGGCGTTGGGAGGAGGCATGCCTTGACCCAGCAGGCCCTTGCCCTGCCGAGTGCTAATAAACCCGTGGAGTCTAACGACTGGCGTGGTGATTCCAGTGGGGTCTGTGAGCACAGGGCAGACAGGACAAGAGGGTCTCTGGCTGATTCTCCTGTTTGCTGAGTACAGGTGCCCGTTGACTCTCCCTGTACACCACAGAGTATGAGGAGTGAGGTAACTTCATACGGACGGACGGACGGACGGATGGACACACACAGAACGCCTATCCTGCTGTGTCCCTGGCTTTTCCATGTGTTCCTGGAACACTCTGCAAAGGCATGGTCTTTTTTACAAGAAAAAAACCCAGGCTTGGAGAGGGTTGCTCTCCTGAAGTCCAGCAGCATCGAGGAAACCGGGCAGCCTGCGGATGTCTTAGCTTAAGTGGGGTCTTAGTCGCAGCCCCTTGTCCTAAGCTTTGGGGCTGGGGGCCCAGGACCCCCCGGGAATGTGGACGGAACATCAGGACATAGCCCATTGGCCCAGGGTCCTGTGTGGCCTGCAGGGTTGGTCAGGGTGGAAAGCAGGGCAGAGGGAAGTGAGGGGCGGGCGCAGTTGAGAAAGAGCCAGCAAGTGTCAGTGCTGGAGGGAGGCAGCCGCTGGAGGAGCCTGTGACGCCTGCCGTGTGGACCTGGGGTTACAGGTGTCCTGGGGGGATGGAGCTCTCCAAGCTTCTATTCACCCGCAAGATGGGGATGGCAGCAATGCCGGTATCCTAGGACTCCTCTGAGAACACTGTGGGTAAACTCTGGAGGGATGTTACACACGCACAGCCTGTCATGCTGCAGGGGGCGCATTGGGACACACGGATGCCAGAGGAGGAACCCAGCCTTAACGGTTCAAATCCTCTCGGGAGATCCAGAGTCCCCTTCCTGTTTTTACCTGACTCCCTCGCTCAAGATTATCTTGAGGTGGGCTTATCGGCTCACACTTTTCAACCTAGCAGCAGAAGCAGGTGGATCTCTGAGTTCAAGTCCATCCTAGTGGACAGAGCGAGTGCCAGGACTACATAGTGGAACTCTGTCTCAAAAACAAACAAGATAAATTATCTTGGCTTCTCAGTGACTAAATCTTGTAGCCTAGACTTGACTGACCCCTTGGGAGTGTTGAGATGACTGCCACTGTCCTTCCCTGTCCCCACCCATGCCACCATCACCCCACCTAAGAGCTGACTCCTGTGGAGGTGTGGGACACTCCAGAGAGAACATCTCTAAGATGAGGAGCCACAGAAGAGAAGGAAGCAGGAGTAGAAATTTCACCTTTGCCTCTTTCTTTCTAACTGTCCCGGGACATGTAGCATCAAGGAGAGCTAACCCTCAGGTCTCCAGTGGACCCCAGTGTTCTGAGATTTGCTCTTGGACTGCACCAGTAAGGAGGAAGCCCCCGTGGGTCAGGTGTGCAGACTCCAGACCAGCTGGGGACTCAGGCTTGAGGAGAGGACAGACGTCAATTCTTCTGCCTAGCTCCTAGAGCTCAAGACTTGAGGTCACCAGGGTGTCCCTTCCAGATTCTTTTCCTAGAACAGTAGAGTGGAGATAATGCCTTGGGGTTCACCGTAGCTTGAGGGGAAGCTGGAGGAACATAAGTGGACAAGGAAAATGAAAGCAGTCTCACTGAGATGGAGACTTTTTCCCCCTTTCTTTCTTTCTTTCTTTCTTTCTTTCTTTCTTTCTTTCTTTCTTTCTTTCTTTCTTTCTTTCTTTCTTTCTTTCTTTCTTTCTTTCTTTCGTTTTTGAGACAGCATTTTTCTGTGTAGCAGCTGGGGCTGTCCTGGAACTCACTCTGCAGATCTGGCTTCGAACTCACAGAGATCCGCCTGCCTCTGCCTCCCGAGTGCTGGGATTAAAGTCCTGGGCTACACCGTGGTTTCTTGTTCCCAGAAGATATTTCAAGGAGAAATGGCAGGAAACAAGGGGGTGGGGTTTCTAAACAGGGCCAATAGGTGAAAGGGGGCGGACCCAGGGACCCTATATAATACCCAAGCCAGCTCCGTTTAGTTCCCTGAGTCTGCTGCCTGGTTTTCTGTCTTTCTCCGATGTTCAGTTCTCCAGGGGATACGCTCAGCAGCCCCTCCATGGCCAGCAGCACCCCCTTACATTTATCGGACATCTTGTGCAGGATTTGAGAAGACTTCAAGGTAGGATATACTTGGCTGAAAATCACCAGGACTCGGAAGCAGCACGCTCATCTAACACTCCAAGGGCCCTTTCCGAGCAAGGGGACACCCTGACCTACACTAGCTGATGGGAGCCCTGGTCAGTCCTGTTTCCACCAGGAGCAAGGAGTCGGCCACTTTGAGGTCCCTGGCTAGACGGAGATCTCTCTCATGAGAGCCAGGGTGGCGAGTTAAGCAAACCACTCTTAAATGGAGACAGAACAAACCAGACTCCGAGGCCCTGGGGAGGAGGGTTGGAGAGGCCACACTCCGCCACTCAGCGCACCTGAGAAAGGGCCATGGGGCAGGTCCTCAGCTTCCTGACTCTCAGGCGCTTGAGCTAAGTGCTGGCACCTGGGGGTGGGCTGTGTGGGGGCAGGGAAGACTTGCTTAACTTTTTATCTGTGCGTGCCGGCCTGAATTAGTGCGCCCGTGCCTCGGCAAGAGGCTTCAGCTGGAGTTACAGGCAATGAGATCTGGGTTCTCCGAAGAGCTGCTCTGCCTGCCTCTGCTTCCTAAGCTGTTGTAGCTTAGGAAAAATTCAAAGCAGACTTGGGGTTTTCGGAGGTAGAGGAAAGTGATGGCAAACTGGCCTGAAATTCAAGTGGAGGCAGCCACAGGTGAGCCGTTCCGTGGGCCTAGGAAGGTTTTGTTGGATGCTGGACCCAGAGGGGCTTTTGCTGTTTGTTCAAACCCATGTAGCTACCGCTGAGCTAGCAGGACAAGTGGCCTCCCCACCCATACCCTATCCTCTAAACCAGGGTCTCCTCACCCCAGGAACCACCCCAGCCCTATGGTGTGTGCCTGTGGTGCTCTCCCCTGGCCCCCTGAAGACACTGAGCTTCCAGGGTCTGATGGTTTATGGGGGAGTGGGGTGGGGAACATGCTGTAGGGCTGTGGAAGGGGCTCAGGGGTTGAAGGGTTGCCTAGACATGCACAAGGCCCCGGGTTCCATCCCCAGCACGGAGACTGCAGCAGCCCAGGGTCAGACTCTGGCCAGGCTGCTGGCAGAAACTGCGGGAGGGAGCTCAGCCTGATGCTGGAGGCTGGGGTTGTTTCCACTTGGCATCTCCAGGCTCATTTTTCTGTTTCTCTAGATCACAGGTGCATGTGGTAAATAGCTCAGCCCAAGTGCTGAGCTTGCTTACAGATTATAAACTTGAGGGGTAAAGAAAGTTAAATGTTTATTTTTGTTTTGTTCGAGATGGATTTTATATGGGGAAGATGATTCACTAATCTGAACAAGTTCTCCCTTCCTCTTTTGGTCCTACTGAGAAAGGAGAAGGTACAGGCACCCACACCAGGTCGGTAAAATCCCAAGAGGATGCTCCGGAGTGGGAGACAAGGTCTGGAAGATGTTCCAGTGTTTGTAGTCCACAGGTGGCTGTCATCGGCAGAGCATCCCGTAGACTGCCCTTACTGGGGTCTCTCTGATCGTGGGTCTAAGAAAGGAGCACCTGGTATTTTTCTGTGCATAGACCTGACCTCAATATAAGCTGGAGGATTTTTTTTAATGGCCTCTAGTAGATCCTGGCATGGGTGAGAGTGAAATGGGCCGCTCCTTGCTGTGGAGTCTGAAAATATGTTGCAGATTTGCTAAGCGCTTCAGTTTCTGCTAGGGGTTGTCAATAAGGGAGGCGCTTTCAGGGCAGCCCCCAGGAGCAACAGGGGCACAGTTAGTGTAGCAGGGACGACTCACTCCTGCAGGGTCTGGAGAACATGGGGTTAGCATCGGAGCTCTTTGAGCACCCAGTCATTCTCTTTCTAGGCTTCCAGTTTCCAGTGGTTAGAGGGGAACACAGCTTCCTGTCTGACTACCCTGTTCAACACGCTCTCCCACCCCAGATACCATCCCTTGACCGGCCTCGATGGTCAGGGCAGCTCCGGAGGTTAGAGGATATCACTATCTAGTGGTCGGGTGTGTCCCTTCAGTGTCCGTGGTTGGGCCATGGACTCTTTTTCGAGACAGGGTTTCTCTGTGGCTTTGGAGGTTGTCCTCGAACTCTCTGTAGACCAGGCTGGTCTCGAACTCACAGAGATCTACCAGCCTCTGCCTCCCAGTTGCTAGGATTAAAGGCTCGAGCCACCACGGCCCAGTGCCATGGACTCTTCTACCCTTGGGAATGGCCCTCCAGACGTAGCTTGAGGCCCCCTTAAGGATCCACTCAGTGGGTCACTGCTTTCTATCTTAACCCCTGGTCTCGTAAGGAAGTCCGTTTCTCCTGGTCAGTGGACAGAGTGGCGGGCAAATGCTCTGGTCTGGATGCCGGCCCGGCGTGTCTGAAACCTTGCTGGCATGTTTCAATGGCACTAGTGTCTTGGGGCTTGAGTAATCAGTTCTCTCTCTAAAACGGCTCCACCCTGGGTATCTGGGGACCAAGCAGGAGGTGGGCACCAGACATAAACCTGGAGGACCAGGGACGCCTGTCAGCTGTGGCTGGTGATGGAAGAGTGCAGTCTTGTGAAGTTTCATGGGACTGGCTAGAGCCGTGTAAATTGTAGCTGGAAGCCTGGCTTCTGGCGAATGCCTCGCTGCCTTCCCCTGCAGCTAGCTCGGCTATGTGATAGTGTCTCCAAGGCGATGCATAGTGGGAAGGGTTAAAGCCCTTCAAATGGCCCCCACCGTGCTAACCTGATGACGTGCTCTGTAACTGGACCCACGCGGCAGTCACTGACCATAGCTTGAGAGGACCGTTCCGGTTGAGTCGGCTGGTCACAGCTCAGCTCCCGACCACACCCTCTGCTCTCTTGACCTCCGTGGGGTTTCCCTTTGTGTGCCCCATCTCCTGCCCAGCCACACACTGGGCCTCCCACAAGTCTTTGCTTAACTCCGTTTACTATTCCAGCACGCTTCGGTTCCCTGTTCTCCCTCGCATTTGATGACTTTTACACCCACTCTCACTGAACCCGGGGGGGGGATGGATGATGATGACGACCAGGGGACGGGGACCCGCCTGCTTCCGTCCCTTTGATAAGCGTGTGGACTCATGGCAGCCACTGAAGTAGATCTTGGATGTAGTTGTTGTCAGGATGGCAGGAAAACGACGTGGAAAGGGGCAGAGACACGGCAGCCGAGCCCCGCACTTCTCGGCAGCAGGAGCACATGTCAAAGCAGACGTCCTGTTTAAAATCTGGTTACCGCCCAGCAGAAAAGAGCTGCGCCTGAGGTGGTGGTTATGCTGACTCGGCTAGGCTAAATCCCTGTTAATTTGGGCAAGTTACTTCCATTCTATGGCAGCCGTGTGTCCAAATGAAGCAAAAGCCCACGGGTCGGTTCTTAGAGAGATTCCAAGAATGATGGGAGGCCCGGCCCTCAACAGGCTCCACACAAATGGCTACCCCTGAGCTACCTCCATGCAGGAGGCCTGAGCGGGCTCTGAACTTCACGCAGGTATTTGGGTGCAGTACCCCTGAGCTACCTCCATGCAGGAGGCCTGAGCGGGCTCTGAATTTCACTCAGGTATTCGGGTGCAGGTGGCTGTCTGCATCTGGGACCGTATAACTCAGACACTGAGTGTATATGTCTGTGGTCCCCAGAGCGCAGAAAAGAATAAGGAATCCGAGATTATTGATTTTTTTCTGGGCGCATCTCTAAAGGATGAAGTTCTAAAAATCATGCCAGTACAGAAGCAGACTCGGGCTGGCCAGCAGACCAGGTTCAAGGCTTTTGTCGCTATTGGGGACTACAACGGTCATGTTGGTCTTGGTGTGAAGTGCTCCAAGGAGGTAGCCACTGCCATCCGGGGTGCCATCATCTTGGCCAAGCTTTCCATTGTCCCTGTGCGGAGAGGCTACTGGGGGAACAAGATTGGCAAGCCCCACACTGTCCCATGCAAAGTGACGGGCCGCTGTGGCTCTGTGTTGGTGCGTCTCATCCCTGCCCCCAGAGGCACTGGCATCGTCTCGGCTCCTGTGCCCAAGAAGCTACTGATGATGGCCGGTATTGATGACTACTACACGTCAGCCAGGGGCTGCACTGCCACCCTGGGCAACTTTGCCAAGGCCACCTTTGATGCCATCTCCAAGACCTACAGCTACCTGACCCCTGACCTCTGGAAAGAGACTGTGTTCACCAAGTCTCCTTATCAGGAATTCATGGACCATCTTGTGAAAGCCCACACCAGAGTCTCTGTTCAGAGGACCCAGGCTCCAGCTGTGGCCACCACATAAGGGTTTTCATACAAGAAAATTAAAGTGAATTAAGTCTGTTAAAAAAAAAAAAAAGAATAGAGACAGGCCCAAGGAACAAAGGAACTCCCACGTAAGGTGTAGAGCACAGGGTCACTAGAGCCGTCTCTTCAGTCACGCCAGAAGTCCCTAGAGCGAGGCAGAGAGCGATGAAGGCGCTCACACAGGTGTGTGGGATTTTATCATTTTATCTCCTCATTCTTGCGTCACAGGGACACTTCCTTTTACAAAATGAAGGTGGACTGTCGCCTCTGAGGTCACACTGTGCCAAGGGCAGGCAGATCTGTCCTCAGACACCAGTCTGAGAAGCAGCGCTGGCACCGGTGTGAGTGGGGCTGAGCTCCCTGACGCTGGGAGCCTCTTCTGTCAGCTGCTGGAGGTGGGAGGCTGCCCGGTCCAGCTTTGACAGTTCCAGGCGGAGGGCAGAAAGCTGGACACGGAGGAGGGTCAGGGTGGGTGAGCTGGCCCCCTACACGCCCTGCCCCGCCAGGAACCCAGCCTTACCCTCTGCTGCCTCTCTGCAGCCCCCTCCGATGCAGTCCGGCTCAAAAGGCCATCAAGCTGTTTTTGTAACTTCTGCCTTCGGGCAGCTAGCCGAGGTAGCTGGCTCTGGGGGTCCACCAGGCCCTACATAAGAGAGAAGTCTGAGACACCCACAGCCTGCTCATAGCCTCCACCACAAGGCCTTCCCTTCCACCCCTGCCCCTCAGATCCCTTCAATGCCCTCTGGTCACCTGCAGCTCCATGTAGACCTTAATGGTGTCATCATCCAGTGGGGTGAGGGCCCAGCCTGAAGGAGCCGCTGTCCCTGGGGGCAGGAACCCTACAGCCCCACAGTGGCTCAGGGTGCCCAGGGGCTCCAGGAAGGGCTGGAGTAGGTCCTGGTCTTCTGGGTCTGAGCTCTGGAGCAGCACTAGTGGAGGCAGGGACAGCGAATCGGGGTCAGTGTGGGCATCGGCTCCCACCCCTTGATGCCTGCCCTTCCCTGAAGACACCCAGGCCCAGCCTCACCTCGGGGTCGGGCTTTCGTGATCTGGTAGGTGGCTCGGAGGGCCCGCAGTGCCTGTACAACCTCTTGCACTCTGGAGAAGCGGAGTTCCAGCTCGGGCTGGCGCCAGGACTCCTGGTGAAGAACCCCAGAGTCAGCAAGGGAGATTCAGCATTGAGGCTGCAGCTGTGCCCTCATCGGCAAGTACGACACTCCCCTCCCAGGAGCGGGGCAGCATGTGAGGGCGCCACCCGGGGATTTGCAGGACTAGTGGCCGATGCTTGTACTTGCTCCCAAGTCACCCGCCAATCCCAACCGGGCTAGAAATCTAAATGCTACCAAAGCACAAAGCCCAGTGAGTGTCAGATTTAAATGCAGAACAATTTTACTTTGTACGAATGTTTTGCAAGCATGCATTCATGTGTAAGCACATTCGTGCCTGCTGAATCCCCTGGAACTGGGGTACAATTATGAGCCACCAATGTGGGTGCTGGGAATCGAACCCAGGTCTTCTGCAAGAGCGAATGCTCTAACTGCTAAGCCAGCTCTCTAGCCCCAGACCTTTTTCCTCTTTTTTTTGAGACTCTATGTAGTCCTGGAATTTGGTATGTGTACCAGGCTGGCCTCAAACTCACAAAATCCTCCTGCGTGCATCACCACACCCAGCTTGAACTTCAATTCTTGAGGCTGTAAACAGCAATTCAGTAGGGCTGGGTGTGGTGGCACATGCCTTTAATTAATACCAGCATTTTGGAGGTAGGTGGGTCTACATAATGAGTTCCAGGACAGCCAGGGCTACACAGAGAGACCCTGTCTCAAAAGAAGAAGAAAAAAAAAAGGACTTGGAAATGGCTCAGCAGGTAAAATGCTTTCGGGCATGCATGGCAACCTGACTTGGAATCCCACGTAAAAGCCCCATGGCTAAGTGACAGTGGTCCCACAACCTTCAGCCATCACCAGACTGTCCCTGTATCCCTGCCCACACTCACCAGGCTGTGGGCACTGGGGTAGGGAGCCACACAGATGCTGGGGGCGAGGGGGCCACCTTGCCTGGGAGGCAGCCTTTGCCAAAGTTCTTCTGCCAGGAAGGGCATCAGGGGGGCGAGGAGGCGCAGGCCAACATCGGCGCAGGAGAACAGGACCTGAGGGGGCCCTGGGGGGCAGGGTTCCTTCGCCAACACTGGCTTCACCGCTTCCTAAGGGAGGAGAACAACCACTCACTGCTGTGCCGGTGGGGACCGGTTCCCAGGACCGGGTGTACGCTGAGCTACTGAACATCACCAGTGCCATGCTATCCCTGGATGTGCATGTGATCAGACCCCGTGCAGAGGTTCCCAGAGGATGGGGAGAGGAAGTGGTACAGTGTAGGAAAGGGTTTTCCCTGCAGTGCTGGGAACAGAACCCAGAGCCTTGAGCATGCTACCTAGGCAAGCCTACACTGCACTGTGTCCCCTGCCCTGGAACAAGGCTGAGAAACAGCGAGGGACATCAGCCCCATAGCCAGCCACCACTGCCTGTCCTGAAGGGCTCTGGGGAACTGGACAAGCACGCTGGGTGACTGTCACGGGACAATGCTTAAAGTCCCTGGTCTGGAACCCCCCCCCCCACTGTCCTCCTAGGATGTAGCTGGCCACATCCTAAAGCAGTAGCTAGAGTGACAAAAGCAACTTTCTTTCCCTGTTTCCTAGACTCTCCCAGCCTCCCTTCTCTCTAGGAGAGGCAGGCATCAGTGCTGGGCTACACTACAGAGCCCAGGCCAGTGAAGGACAACTTGGTGCACCCACGGAGCTCTGGAAACTGCTAGGCTGTGCCCTGCCACTCACCAGGTAGACATCGCAGAGGTTGTGGAGCCAGAAATGATACAGGGTGTGGGTGACGAGCGAGAGCTCGTGGCTGAGGAAGCCCCTCTCACATTCATGGGCTGCGAAGGCCAAGCGGCTCAGAATCCAGGCATCCATGGGGGAGGAGGGAGACACCTGCAGGCAGGCGGGCATGAGGACCTGGGGGCTGGACCCCGCTCCCTGCCACCTCTCCAGGCTGGCTGCCCGCCTCCCCACCTTGTCTGCTGGCTGGGGTACGAAGTTCTCCCCCAGGGCACGGAGGACAAAGCGCAGGGCATTCCAGAGCTTGTTGCAGAAATGGCGGTAGGTCAGGACCTCAGAGACGGACAGGTGCAGGTCGCCCCCTGGAGGGCAAGAACAAGGAGTCGTCTCATCCTCAGCCAGCAGGGCTGTCCACACAGGTGCCCTCGGCCATGCCACCCACCGAGGCTCACCCAGGACTCCGTGGGAGCACAGCGCAAATCTCAGGGCGTCTGTCCCGCACTCGGGGATCCCGTGAGGGAAGTCCTTTTCCTGCAACCACAGGGAGACGGGTGTGACCCAGGCTGCAGGGGAAGCGGGCAGGCAGGTTAGAGGCCTGGACGGGGGCCACAGGTCTCACCTGTGCTGCGGCTGCAATGGTTAGCTCGCCCAGGTCCAAGTTGCCATCTCTCAGCTTGGCCTGGAGCACCTGAGGATGAGTGACAAGGTCAGGGGCTGCTCTCCCCCACCATCTCCTCCGACCCCTTCATCCCTTGAGCTAAAGCCTTTGTTCTCACCGGCAGCTCCTGCCCACTGATGATATCCCGCGGGTCCAGCACGTTCCCCAGAGACTTGCTCATCTTCCGGCCTTGCCTGTCCCGAACCATGGGATGCAGAAGCACCTGGAGACGTGGGGGGGGTCAGCAGGAGGGCTTAGGGACCAGGAGGGGGAGAGGCCTGGCGTGTGGGGCACTGGGGGACCTTACCTTGCTGAAGGGGAGCTGCCCTGTGAGCTGGGTCCCCAGCATGACCATGCGGCCCACCCAGAACATCAGGAGGTCACTACCAGTTTCCAGAAGTGAAAGGGGGTAGAAACGAGCGAGGTCTGGTGTCTAGGACGAGATGGGCAGTAAGGTCCGAGCCAGGCTCTGTGGTCCTGCGTCGTACCCACCTTCACGCCCCCTTTTAGCCCACCTCACCTCTTGGGGCCAACCCAGGGCAGAAAAAGGGAAAAGAGCCGAAGAGAACCAAGTGTCCAGGACATCAGGGTCTGGGAGACAAAACAGGGAATGAATGGGGACAGCTAGACCCTTCGGCCACTGCTGCTGCTCCTACCCAAGAAGGGTCTCCGTCTGCTCCACACCCAGCGCCCCCACACATCTGGCCAGCCTCTGCCGCGCACTCACCCCTCTCCAGGGTCAGCTCTGCCACTGGTCTCCCGGTCAGCTTTGCAGCTACTGCTCGGGCCTCAGCCTCCGATCGCCCAACCGCCCAGCATTCCTTCCGGTCACCCTGAAAAAAGCAAGGGCCTAGTGTGGCGGGCTCCCACCCCAAGTCACCTCCCCAGGCTCCGAGCTCGCCTCCCTGCCCCGTCGCTTCTCACTGACCTCCGCCTTCTCTCCAACCACCAGGTAGGCCGGAATCTGGTGGCCCCACCACAGCTGCCGGGAGACACACCAGTCCCTGCCAAAGAGGGTGCCAGTTGACACCTCCATATGACCAGTGGCCATCCCCCTCCCCAACTTTGAGAGCCCCCCTTACCCAATGTGGGCAAACCAGTGCTGCCAGGTCTTCTGGTGGAAGGAAGGCCAGAGCCCCAGCGCCCCTGACTCCACAGCCTGGAAACAAAGGTGGCCCCCACGCCTTTAATCCCAGTATTACCAGGCAGGTAATCTCTGTGAGTTTGAGGTCAGCCTGGCCTACACAGCCAAGTTCCAGTCCAGCCAGGACTGCACAGCGAGACCTTGAAAAACTCCGAAGGGGGGTCAGCGAGATGGCTTAGCAGCCTGGTCCCACGGATGAGCCAACTCTCACCCTCACTTGGTACCGTGACACCCACGCAATTAAATAACTTTAAAGTTTCAAGCGTTTATGTCCGTGTATGATGCATACACAAACACGCACAGAGGTCCTTAGTTCTGTCCCCACACGTGTTCGGGGGACTGAGCTCGAGTGGCCGGGTTCGGCAGCCAGAGCTTTTGCCTGTTGAGCTGTCTCAACAAAAAAACTCTCAGGAAGGACCTTGACTTCGGTCCAGAAGATTCTGGGCTAGAGCACACATCAGCCCTGTCAGGCCACCTGCCTCTACCGCAGGATCTTCACCTGTGTTTCCCGAGTCTCAGACGCTCCCCTCCCGGCTCTCCCCACACTGGGCCTCACCTTGGCAGCTCGGTCCCCCATTTCCTGGCAGCGAACAAACCACTGGCTTTTCAGCAGGTACTCTACCACGTCCCCGGAGCGGCTGCAAGGGTGGCAGGGTGAGGAACAGCTGGGGACACCTTTATGATCCTAACTCTCCAGAGGCTGAGGCCAGAGGCGTTCCAGGCCAGCCTGGGTTATACCATCAAGACCCCAACTCCAACAGAACCCTCTGCCCAGAACCCACACTCTAGCCCAGGGCATCATCCTGCTGTCAGTCACTCTTAGGCGTCATCCACCCGCCCCCCCGGGGACGGCCCCCAGTGGGGGACTAAAACGGCGTTACCACGCTACCTGCAGATGGGCAGTACCATGGGGTGCTCCCGCAGGCCCCGGAACAGGCCCTGCTCCCTCAGTGCGCATAGGATCTTCTCCCGGGCCACAAATCGGTGAAGGCCCTGGGGAGAGGTGGCAGGATCAGAGGCCTCAGACAAGGTGAGGCAGGGCAGAGGGTGCCCATAGGAGACGGGGTAGCACCAACACCGGCCCCACCTGCAGCCAGTCTCCGCAGAGGGGCGTCATGGTCCCATCCTCCGCAATGACACTCAGCGGGGTCAAGCCATGCCGGGCCCCCATCTCGGCATCTGCTGGACTGTGAGCCGGAGTCACCTTCACTGCCCCTGGGGGATACAGCTCTGTGAGCCCCGCACTGGTCTTGGTCTTGCGTTTCAAGCGGCACATACCCCCCCCATCCCCTCCTGCAGGGACACATTCCCGACAGCGGCTCTCATGGCTCTCCCTTCTCCCTGGACCCTTGACTTCCACACACCTGTGCCCACATGCGGCTCAACGGCGGTGTCCGTGATGAGGGGGAGAAGCTGTCCCGTCAAAGGGTGACGAAGCTGCCGTCCGTGTAAACGCTAAAGGCAAAGGTGAACAGTCAGGGTTAGGCGCGAGTCTGGGACAGGGACAGAGAAGGCAGAGTGAGGGGTGAGCCCAAGACCGGCCAGCGAGCGATCGAGCGAGCCCAGGAGCAGACAGACGTCCCCTGCAGCGCCTCCACTGCAGGAAGCGCACCAGCGTGGCAGAGACGCAGATGGGCAGCAGCTGCGCTTGGACTGGAGGCCACACCCACGCTTAATTAATTAAATTAATTAATTTAATTTAATTAATTAAAGCAGAATAGCAAAAAAAAAGAAAGAAAAAAGAAAAAAAAAAGCAGGGAAGCGTAGAGGCAGCCACCGCAGAGCAGGGAGGAGGGGTCTCAGGAGAGGGGCTGGAGTAAAGGAAGGCTGCAGCCTCAGCAGGGGGTGCAGGCTCTCTCCAGTCACTCACGGTGTACCGCGGGTCGTCTGGATGGACGGCCACAGCCACATCTCCAGGCAGCGTCTCAGGCCTGGTGGTTCCCACCACAATCTCCGCACCTGGGGACAAACGTTCACGCACTGGGTCAGCTGATGCCCCGGCCTCCTCCCACACAGGTGGAGCAGACAGGATCCAGCTGGCCCTCCCTTCCTCGTGCCCTTTTCTGAACCAAATGCAACACTAACAAACTACACTTTAGAACTAACCTTCCCCTGCACTGTTTTACAGAGACACCGGGGCCTCCTGTAGCCCTGGGTGACTCGGAACCTGCTATGCAGACTAGGTGAGCCTTAAACTTGGAATCCTCCCACCTCTGCCTCCCAAATGCTGTGATCACAAGTGCACCGGTCACTAGCTTATCTTTCACCTCTTTCCTTAGTGAAAGACTCTCGTAGAATCACACTGAGTTTCCAAAGAGGGCCTCGTGCGTTTCACTTCCCCCCAGGACCCCCAGAGCAAGGACCCACGATGGCAAGCCTACCGGGGGTCCCAGCAAAACCCACCGTGCACTCGGGAGAATGGGAAGCGGAAGAAACAGGGCAACTTTCAGGACTACGCTCACCGGGCTCGCCATCCACAGGGAAGGCGACAGAAACAAGGAGCCCAAAAGACACGGGGGTCGGGCAGCCGGGCAGCCGGAGCACTGTGCGGCCAGGCAGGGGCCGGCTCTCCACCTGGAAGGTTGAGGCAGCAGGTGAGACAGCAGCCTCTCTGTAGAGCTCACATCCGGGGAGTCCCACCGCCCTGCATCCGGCCTCCCGGCCATCCACCCCAACCCCATCCAGAGGGCTGGCTGGGGGAGTCAAGTTCCACAGTAAAGTCACAGGGCTCAGAAACCACGGCGGCTCCCTGTGCTGAGCACTGCGCAGATTCTGTGACTTTTTACAATGTCCCTACAAGGCAGTACGCCACCATCTGATTGACAGGAGTGGACAGAGCTTGAGAAACTTCAAACACAGCAGCAGGGGCCAAGGACCCGACTCCGCCAGCCCGCAGCCTTTCTCCCTCTTCCTCACCTCAATGTCCGAGATGGCTGATCTCAACGTACACGACCAGTTGACAAGCTGACGGCTCCGGTACAGCAACCCCGAGTTGTAGAGTCGCACAAAAGCTTCCGTCACGGCTGCTGAGGAGCCCTGGAATGACCTGAGTGTCCACACCGGACGTCCTCCCTCAGCCGGACCCAGGGATTCCTGTGTTCCTCTCCAGACACATTCCACACTGGTCTCTAATGCCCTCCCCACAGAACCCACCCACGGGGGCTGTAACATGAACTCACGGCGTCCATGGTGAAGCACTCTCGATCCCAGTCCAGGGAGGCGCCCAGAGCGCACAGCTGCTCATAGATCTCCCCTCCTTTCCTGTGCCAGAGGTTTCTGTCAGTAAACATGAGCAGGGCACCTCCCACACACTAACCAAGGATGCTCGCCAACGCCAGGTACCAGAGGGAAAAAAGTGCAATGGCAGAGACCCAGCAGAGTCTGGAAGCTGACGGCACAACCCAGGGTGGGGCTTTCCCCAGCTTTAAAAGACACATAAAGGTCTCCGCAGGGTGTCTAAGCTTTCAGCTCCTCTGAGCCACGCAGGATGAATAATTAATTGTCTCGGGCAACACCTTGGGTGTCCAAGCTGTGGCTCCCTGGTTATAAGAGCGCGCGTGCGCGTGCGTGCACACATGCACATGCATGCACACACACACACACACACACACACACACCCTAAGCTGCAGCCCACAGGTTGTGAGCACACACATACATACACGCATTTTGCATAACACTGTAACATGACATCGCCATCATCACATCCGAGAATGATGCAATAAAGCAAAAGACAAAACAAAAACCCACACACACACAAAAAAGTCCCCAAAATGTTTTAGGTTAGTTAACAATTCGCAGCTATGCTGGGACGCACGAGGCCCGTGGGCCATGAGTGGGTCATGCCTGGCGGCGGCAACTACTCCATGAAAAATGTAAGAAAAGCGGGAGAGACAAAAGCCTGTGACGACAGATATGGAAGGAGAAGGCCCGGGCGCATGGGAGAGGAAGCCTAAGAGAAACAAGGGTAAAAAAAAAGAAAACCCACTCATATGTGTGTATGTCCATCCATTACACACACACACACACACACACACACACACACACACACACACACACACACACACACACACACACACACACAGAGAGAGAGCTCGGACACCCTGCCCACCCAATGCTCAGAGTTCCAGAGCTTCTGCCCTGAGGCATTCAGGAGGCACCGAATGCTACCAGGCAGGAGAGGTGGCGAGCAAAGACTCATTCAGCCAGTCACACAAGCGCCCCGCCGCCGCCGCCGCCGCCGCCGCCGCCGTACTCATGTTTCCACTGCCACACGGCCTTCAGGAAGTCTTCCCGGCTCAGCTGGTGTCTCCTCACTCCACGCTCCTTCCACAGTTGCTTCTCCACCACGGCCTGAGGTGGGGGATCAAGAGCGAACGAGAAGCTTTCGAGCTGCCTCGGATAAAGACAGCGCCATCAAGCAAGGGTTAAGAGGGGGGAATGGGGGCAAAGGACCCCACACACCTGTGTGGCAATTCCGGCGTGGTCTGAGCCAGGGATCCACAGCACGCGATCCCCACGCATCCGGTGCCTGAGGCAGAGACAGCGTAAGGGACCCGTTGAGCTCGCTTCTCATTGGCTCCAACCTGCCCTTCGGGACGGGCGGCAGCCTCCTCCCTCTCACCAGCGCACAAGCGCGTCCTGTATCGCCACCGTGAGCGCGTGGCCGATGTGCAGGGAGCCAGTGACGTTGGGAGGTGGGATGCACATGGAGAAGGTCTCCCCCGTGGCGTGGGGCAGCCGTGCCTAGGAGCAAGGAGGAAGTCAGAGGCACAGGGCAGGACTGCTTGTTACCCGAGGAGGAACAGCGCCCTCTGGTGCCCTCGGGGCAGAAAGAACTTCAAGGAGACCAGATGGTACTCAATGCCGTTAATGGGAGGCCGAGGCAGGTGGATCTCTGTGAGCTTGAGGCCAACCTGGTCTACATAGAGACTCTGTCCACCGCCCCCCCCCCAAAAAAGCAAATGATGACGACGATGGTAGAATTTCGAAGAATATCCAACGCGGGGAAAGCAGAGAGAGACCTCTGGAGAAGCCAGGGGCCAAGGGAAAGCTCAGCTGTGAAGCTGCCCTGTGCCCACCAAGCTCCGGGCTGCTCACCTGTCCGTTCCGATCCGCCCAGCACTAACCTGATACTCGGGCTTGAAGAAGCCCTCACGCACCCACCACTGGTACCAGGCAGCCTCAACGTATCGGGGGCTGTAAGCAGGAGGCAGGGGCCCAGAAACATCTGTACAAACACAGGGAGATCCACTTCTGAGCTGCATTTCAGCAGACCAAAAGGCAGTAGAATCCAAAAAAGAAAACCCATTCCCTACAGTTTACCTTTCTTTTCACCTGGCTCGGTGGGGATTTCATACAATACTACCTCCTTGTGACTCCAGGTCTTAGTGGGCGCTGCAGGTGACTGGGAGGAAATGGGGGAGTGTGAGTGTGTTTTGCAATTCCCAGAACACCAGTCACCCGGATCCCCGCCACCAGTCTCCTTCAGCCCCTTCTCAGGTCTTGGAGACCCAAGGACTGACCCCTGACCTTGCTCTTCTCTGCTAGCCCGGCCTCCAGGGCCGCCTGCTTCTCCCGCAGGCGCTTCTGCTTGGCTTCACGGTTCCTCCGAGTGAGGGACGAGCCTTGGGGCTCTGGCTGTGTACAGAGTGGCTGGGGCTTGGAGAGTCCCCGGGGGGCCCTCAGTGCCCAAAGCGGTGGCCGGAGAGGGGCCAGAGGGAAATGAGGCATCGCATCGGGAGTGTTTGGGCAGAAGTCGGGGTCTGCTTCAAGAGGACGTGGGGTGCGGGAGGTCACCCGCGGGACCCGCTCGCTCTAAGTCCTTCCGCCTCGGGGCGGAGCGCATGGTGTCACCAGCCTTCTGCAGTCGGGGGCCGCGGCGTCCGGAGGGGGCAGGGGCTCCGGCCGTCACCCCGCGCTGACGCGGACACGCACAAGACGGGGTTCGGAAACCAGGGAACCCCCAAACTTCCACACGCGCCTCTGCTCGGAGCGCCGCCGTGGATCCTGCGTGCGAGCAGGGACGCCGTCGGCTGTGCGCACGCGCGCGGGGGCGGGGCCACGCCGGCGCGTGCGTAGAAGACTCTCGCTCTCAAGGTCCCACCGCCTTGATGGGAAAAAGACGAGCAGGTGCCGGCAGCCGCTTAGTTTTTTGTTTTTTTTTCCTTAATTTTATTAAACAAGAAGTGTCCCGGTGGGTAAACAAAATACACCTGAGTTGGGGAGCTGCCCGCTCATCCGCCCTCCCGCCCGGCCGCCCGGGTCAGGAGCTGTGCTTCTGCCGCTTCCAAAAGCGCTTGACGTCGCTGTGCCCGGCCGGAGTCACCACCATCAGCCGCTTGGCCGAGTTCTCGTACACGAGCACGCCCAGCTCCCGCGCGTGGGCCAGCAGCAGTTCAAAGTCCACTTGCGACAGGAACTGGTTATACAGGACGCCTGGGGTCGGGTGGGACAGGCAGGAGGTGAGGGGATGCATCGGCCTCTGGGCAGCACGCGGCAGGGGCAGCAACGGGGCAGGGGCAGCATCTCGGCAGGGGCAGCACCCGGGCAGGGGCAGCACCCGGGCAGGGGCAGCACCCGGGCAGGAGCAGCACCCGGGCAGGGGCAGCACCGGGGCAGGGGCAGCACCCGGGCAGGAGCAGCACCCGGGCAGGGGCAGCACCCGGGTCAGGGGCAGCACCCGGGCAAGGGCAGCACCCGGGCAAGGGCAGCACCCGGACAAGGGCAGCAGGCCACAATTTAAGAGCGGGTGACTGACTGTTCACCTGAACACTCGTGGCATCCAGACATTGGAAAAGACAACAGAGTACCACAAGGAAGAAAAAAAAAAAACATGCAAAGCTACCCGGGGAGATGACTGAATTATCCTCCTACCCTCACCTAGCTAGCTTAATCCAAACCGCGCTGATCTGGGACACAGTTCCTGCTACCGATGTATCAAAAGAAAGGGCCAGCTTTTCTCTCCCCACTGGGATTGGGGGAGGAGGGTGGGAATAAGAAATGCACGAGACCCTTCTCATTCATCACGGCCACGTTGCTGGCCTCACCTCTTTAGCCGGTGACCACGGCTGGGAGGTCAACAGAGGCCACTCACCTTCAGTGAAACGAAGTCTGTCCCTCTCCAGCTCCCACAGCCGGATCTGGTCTGTGATGGTGGGAGGCAGCACGGGAGTCTGTGGGCGGACAAGGGGCGGGGCTGTAGGACCCAGGGCAAGTCTCTGTGGGCTAGCTGCCCTGTCACCCATCCTCTCCATGCAGGGAGCCCAGGCTGCCAGCCTCCAGCATCCTGGTACCCGTCCATACCTGTTTGAGCATCACCGGGTGGGCCCTCGTCCTTAGGAAATGGATGATCTAGGAAGACGAGGAGGCAGAAAGCCATCACCGAATGCCACCAAGACGGCCGGCATCTCCCGTATTTGCCTCGCCACGGCATGGGGCCCGACAGACCTGAGGCTATGCTCCCAATGGCGGGAGTACCGCGTCCCACCCCGACAGGCGCACAGCCCATCTCCCGCCGGCCCTCCACTCCGAGTGGGGTACCTGCTGGGCCGTGATGCCGCTGGCGATGGCCTGCTGCACACTCTCCCGGGTCACTTGTGCCACCACCATGTTGGGGAACCGGTAGAGCATCTCAGAGAAAAGTGCGATGAGGGCGATCTGCAGCTCCGACTCTGGCCCAGGGATGTGAGGAGCGGTGAGGAGGCTGCCCACGCCCGCCGGCCTTCCTCTAGCCCTGCCCTCAAGCGTTACAAGAGATACCGGAGGGCTCCTGAACCACACACAGGGCCGCAGCCCTGTTTCCTCCTGGGCCCGCCCTCCCCCATACCCCTCCCCCCCTCCCTCCAGCCTCACCCGTGTAGGCGTACAGTCGGTAATTGGTCTCCACGACAATGAAGCCTGGCTGGTGCACAGTGCCCCCGGCCCCGGAGACACCGGATGAGAGGTTGATGGCCAGGCGTGTGGGGTAGTAACGCCGGGATTTCCTCTGGAGGGACATGGGGAAATAGGGTCCTCTTGCAGGTCACCGCCCTAGCGGCTCCTCTTAGACATCAGATCCCACAGTGCAAAACCACCAACCTTTAACTCCCCCCCTTCAAATGACCCAAGCAATTCGGGCCTGGCCAGGGCTCTCTGCTGCACCCCAGCACCCCATTCTCCTCAAAGCCAGGTGGCTGGGTGTGCGTACCTTCCTCTGGAAAACAAGCCCGAACTCACGCAGGTGTTGCAGGAAGTTCAACAAAGAGTCACTCATACCCTCTACGGAGTAGTCCTGGGGGGAAGAGATGGCCAGCTGGGGGCTGGGACACTACCCCACTCACCGCCCAGCCCCTACAGTAGTCCTGGGGGAGAGATGGCCACCTGGGGGGCTGGGACACTCCCCCCACTCACCGCCCAGCCCCCCACACCCCCGCACCCCCCCTCTTGCCTTCTCAGGCAGTTCCGTGGCCATTCTGCTTCCCCATAACCTCTCTTTATCTCCCCGGCCTCCAGCCCCATACTTACCTTGCCCAGAGTAGAGAAACTGAGTTGGAAGAGGAAAGACAGGATCTCCACTAGGTCCATGCCCCGACTCTGCGGAGAAAGGGGCAGAGCAAAAGGAGACGTGAGAGAGGGGGAGGGAGGTGTGACAGGCCGAGGGAGTTGAGGAGCACGGTCTGGGGAGGCTGTTGCTCAGCGGGACCTGGGAAGACCGGGCACGCCGCGCTAGGCCCTGGCTCAGACCTGGGCTGTCTGCAGATACTGGAGCATGAAGTACCAGAGCTGGGCGGACGTGTCAAGTAGCAGGAACTGGAAGCCAGCAGAAGTGATACAGGGCGGCTCTCCGGGTTCAGCGCTAGAAATGGAGACGGGCGACGGTAGCAACTTGCAGAGAAGGGGCTACCCGTTCCCGTTCCCGGTGACACCTACTCTAACCCCTTTCCCCACCCAACTCCCTTCACTCCCTCCTAACCCCGGGCGCCCACTTTACTTGAGAGGCGGCCGAGGGGGGGTGGCGGTGCCCTCCTCACCTTTTCATAAGCCCGGCCTGGCTGAGCAGCTGAGCCAGGTCCTGGCTGACAGCTGCGCTGGGGGAGCCCACCATGAAGTGCAAGACCACCTGGAGACGAAAGGGACAGACTGCGGTCTCAAGGGCCACCGGGGATGGGGGCACAGCAGAGGCGCGCACACAGGGGCGCGGTCCTCACCTCCCAGCGCTCCTCAGCGTACTTGTCCAGAGACGGGACATCCCGGGCGTGCTTGTCTGGTCCCAGCTGACTTGTGTCATCAGACCAGGCCTTGCCCCTGTGGCCAGAACAGGCAGGAGTAAGGAGCCCCTGTCTGTTTCCTGCTCCCCCCATGGGCCATGGGAAGGGGGACATTTTCTACACCCCTCCCCAAGGGGGTTGGCCCCTCTCGGGAGCTTCTCCCCCACTGCTGTAGTCAGCAGCTCCCCTTGGCCCAGCTCAGGAAGAGAGGGAAGCGACATACCCACCCAGAAGGGCAATCCGGAGGTTCTGGCGGAAGATGGGGTTGAGGATGAGGCCCTGGAGTCCACCGGGGAGCAGCTGGGTATGCCAAATTCGGAGGCCGCTGAGCAGCCCGGTGCTCTCCTCCTGAGCCCTGGACAGAATCGGAGTTGAGGGGTGTGTCATGAGCAGAAAGGAGACCCGCAGTCCAGTCCTTGGAGCAGTGTCCCAGGTATCCCAGAGTGAAGCTGTGTTTTCTTGCCTCAGATGCCTGAACTGCAATGCTAAGCAGAGTCTAGCCTTTTGTTTTTTGTTGGTTTTTTTTTTTTTTTTCCGAGACAGGGTTTCTCTGTATTGTTTTGAAGGCTGTCCTGGAACTCGCACTGTAGACCAGGCTGGCCTCAAACTCAGAGATCCTCCTGCCTCTGCCTCCCAAGTGCTGGGATTAAAGGCATGCACCACCAACGCCCGGCTTGCTGTTTTTTTATTATTGTTTGTTTCTTGTTTTCTAGGTCAATTCCTTTTTTTTTTTCTTTTCTTTTCATTTCTTTTGGTTCAGAAAGGGTCCTATGAGGTCTCGGACAGCCTCAAACTTACTATGTAGCCCTTGAATTTCTGATCTTCCTATCTCTACCTCCCAACTTCTGGGACTGCTTTTCCCTTTTGTCTTTTTTTACTTTTTTTTAAGTTAGCATACAACTGGTTAGTTACATATAATTACAACTCTCCAAAACCGGAAACGCTGCAAGTGTACTCTGGAGGGTGTTCCCTGTGTAGGGCAGAGACTGTTGAGAGACCCTAGGTTTGATCCCTAGATCCTGGGTGTGTCCTGGGTGTGCTGCCTGAGAAAGCAGCCGCCGGCAGCCGGCTGTGCTCGGGACTCACTTGCTGAACTCTTTCTTCACCCACAGGGCCACCGCAGCCTGCGGCAGAGGCTGCTCCAGGAAAAGCATCCGCATCACCCAATTCTTAGCCAAAGAAGGGAGCTCCCTGTAAGGGTCAGAGGCCAAATGTTACCAGAAGCTGCCTCACGCCTGCACCTCTGCCCTTGCTGGCCTCTCAAAGGTCTCGCCCCGTCCCCCACCCCGTTACCTGTCCACTGCCCTCACACCCTCCTGTTTCGGATTGCCTCACTTTGGAGGCGGATCTCTAACAGGCCAGTAGTCACCCTAGGCTATGCCCCCACCACCACCCCGAGAATACTAATTCCAGTCTGCAGACCCCGTTACACTCCCCCAAACCACGGTCCTTGCTTTGAAGGGCTCCTCACCTGAAGACAGCCAGACAAGTGGCTGGGTGCCCATACAACCGGTCCAGCACCCCGGGGCTCAGGCCCCCTAGGAACTCCTGTAGATTCCTGCATTGTAGGTGCACTCTGTTCAGTCCACCCCTTGCAGGGGTGATGTCCATCACCTGAGAGGAACACATGTCAGAGGTACTCCCCCACAACCCAGGCCAGTGTCACTCTGACTGCAGACCTATCCCAGGCCACCCTAACCCATCATTTCTATACTTCCCTCGCAGGTGCCACTCATCATTTATTTCTCCCAAGCCCCTCATGTTCCTGCTTCTTCATCAAGCCCCTGGGATCGCCTTGAACTTAATGAGAGGCCAAGGTTGGCTTTGAACACCGGATCCCTCTGCCTGCACCTCCCAAGTGCTGGGATTACAGGAATGTAGCATGGCTGGCCTTCCATTCTGCATCTCCCCTACAGTTCAATATTCTCTCGGTCTCCAACTGGTGAGATTATTCCGTGTGTGTGTGGTCCTGAGGACCAAATCCAGATCCTCGCCAGTGTGAACAAGTGACAGAATCATTCAATGTTCCACACTTGCAAAGTTGTTTGTTTGTTTGTTTGGTTGGTTTTTCGAGACAGGGTTTCTCTGTGGCTTTGGAGGCTGTCCTGGAACTCGCTCTTGTAGACCAGGCTGGCCTCGAACTCACAGAGATCCGCCTGCCTCTGCCTCCCGAGGGCTGGGATTAAAGGCGTGCGCCACCAACGCCCGGCCGCAAAGTTGTTTTGCATATCAACGACGCCTCAAATTCATCTAAGCAGTGTCAAAGATGCTTATTTGAACCCAGCCTTCTCTCCCCTCCACCCTCCTGGTCAGGTCACGCTACCTCCTCCAGATCCGTCAAGTCCTTAGCTCTCGTCTGGAGACACCGGCTATAAACTACCTCCATGCTCACCAACCTAAATCCCTTTCTATCTCTTTTCCCTCCAACCCAGCCTCACCTTTCTCACTGAGACCCACGCCGTCCGAGCTCCTCACTTCCCCCTGGCTTTCCTTTCACGCCACCTCTCGCTCAACTCTGCCCCTCAGCCCTCTCATCGCCCCTCACCACTCGGATCTCCCTCGCGTACCCCGGGTCACGAGCCGTCGCTTAACCAGAGCCAGTGTCTCGCATTGGCCTCTGGAAATAAAAGGATGAGGAAAAACGGTGGGAGAACCACGAAGTCTTTCACAGACAGGAGCCGGCCGAAAAACAATCCAAAGGGAAGGGAGCGCAGGGTTAAGTGTGACGAGTAAAGGGGATGAGAATAGGCGATGCACTCGCTTGCCGCGTGGCATACTGGGAATTGTAGTCCTGTCCGTGCCTACGTCGGAGCACCGGGAAGAAGGTTTGACTACAATTCCCGAAAGGCACCGCAAGAAGACCAACAGAGAGAAGCTGGCTTTTCATTGGATTCCCCCAAGAACACTCTGAGACGGAGAATTTGGTTCCGCATCTCTCTTTCCCTAGCAACTGAAGTGAATCTCTGTCCCGCCCAGACAGGAGGAGGGAGGAGCTGCCAACTCCTATCAGAGGCCCGCTGAGGCAGCTCAGGGGTGGTATGTTACATTTAGAGTCCTCAAACTTGGTTTCCTCACCTCTGATGGTCCCCGTGCACAGCGCAAAGCATCAAGCCAGGCAGGGATTAACACAATGCAGTTCGCCCTTACTTGGCAACTAAATGCTCGATCTTTTTTTTTTTTTCTTTTTGGAATAATTTGTTTTTACGTTTTAAAAAAGATTTATTTATTATGTGTACAGTGTTCTATATTCCTGCGGGTCAGAAGATGGCACCAGATCTCATTACAGATGGTTGTGATCCACCATGTGGTTGCTGGAAATCAAACTCAGGACCTCTGGAAGGGCAGCCAGTGTTCTTAAGCTCTGAGTCATCTCTCCAGCCCCCTAAATGCTCAGTCTTTTTTTTTTTTTTTTTTTTTTTTTGGTTTTTCGAGACAGGGTTTCTCTGTGGCTTTGGAGGCTGTCCTGGAACTAGCTCTTGTAGACCAGGCTGGCCTCGAACTCACAGAGATTCACCTGCCTCTGCCTCCCAAGTGCTGGGATTAAAGGCGTGCGCCACCAACGCCCGGCAATGCTCAGTCTTAAACTCTTCTTCCATGACCCTTCCAACGCCTAAGTAGTTAGACGATTCCACTTCAACTATAGCTTCTCCAATTCTTATGGGACAAATTCTGGTTTTTGCTTTTTGTTTGTTTGCTTTTTTTTTTTTTTTTTTTTTTTTTTTGGTTTGGTTTTCTGTGTATCCCTGGACGTCCTGGAACTTGCTCTGTAGACCAGACTGGTGTCAAACTCACAGAGATCTACCTGCCTCTACCTCTCAAGTGCTGGGATTAAAGGCAATTGCCACCACTGCCCAGTTTATATTCTGTTATTCTTACATCACAGAATACCAAACCCAACAAGAATAAGAAATCTGAGCCAGCTTTAATCCCAGCACTTGGGAGGCAGAGGCAGGCGGATCTCTGTGAGTTCGAGGCCAGCCTGGTCTACAGAGCGAGTTCCAGGACAGCCTCCAAAACAATACAGAGAAACCCTGTCTCGAAAAAACAAAAACAAAAACAAAAAAAAAAAAAAAAAAGAAAGAAAGAAAGAAAGAAATCTGAGCCGGGCAGTGGTGGTGCATGCCTTTAATCCCAGCACTCAGGAGGCGGAAGCAAGCAGATTTCTGTAAATTCAAGGCCAGGCTGTCCTACATAGAGAGTTGCAAGACAGCCATAAAGAGAACCTTTCTGAAGAAACAAAAAAAAAAAAAAAAAAAAACTGGCAAGCTGTAAACTCCCGATCCTACTGTCTCCATTTCTGGAGGGCTGAGATTACAAGCATTCCCACCCCCCAACCCCCCACCCCCGCATCTACAAACAATTTTAATATGATTATACTTTGACCCAGCAAAGCCACAATTAGAATTATATAATCCAAGTCCGGTGTTTCGGCACACGCCTTTAAACCCAAAACACGGTGAGGCAGAGGCAGGCAGATCTCTGTGATGCCAATTTGGTCTGCAAAAAGCAAGTTCCAGGATAGCCAGGGCTGTTTTACAGAGAAATGCTGTCTCGAAAAACCTAAAAAAAGAAATAAAGAATTGCATCATCCTGAAATCCTCATCCACAGAATAGATTAGATGCAGAGAAAGATGCTTCCTGAACCCAATGGTGAAGGCTCACAAGTCTGTTCCAGAAGCTGGTTACATAAAACACGAATCACCCTGACAAAGAGGAAGACTGGGCAACCCTGAGAAAGGAGGGGCCGTGTGTATGCCAGGGCCTTGGACTACACACGACCCAACAGCAGAGGGAGAAACGAGAGTTACAAATATGTGTGAAATAGGGTATACAAGGGAACAAAGGAGAGATCCATGGGCTGAAGAGCGTCAGTGGAGATCTGACCTGACCAGACGAGATTGCTGAAGGGCTAACAATGCAAAAAACAAACAAACAAAAAAACCCAGAGAACATTCTTCCGGGACAAAAGCATGCTGCAGAGTCCACACGCCAGGAGGGTCTGTGGCCTCAGGGAAACTGCATACAGTGATGTATGCAGGAGGGTGTGCTGGACAGGACAGCCAGCCTTGAACAAGGTTTCGTTCTTTTTGTTTTGTTTTGTTTTTCGAGACAGGGTTTCTCTGTATTGTTTTGGAGGCTGTCCTGGAACTCACTCTGTAGACCAGGCTGGCCTCGAACTCACAGAGATCCTGCCTGCCTCTGCCTCCCGAGTACTGGGATTAAAGGTGTGCACCACCAACGCCCGGCCAAGGTTTTGTTCTTAAGAGATCAATCAGAAATGGACTTGGTGGAAAAAACTTCAAATACAAGCATTCGGGAGACTGAGGCAGGAAGACAGTTAGTAATGAGATCCTACTAGCAAACAACAACCTGGCATGGTTGGACTGTGGAGGCAGAGGACCACAGATCTCTGCATTCAAGGGCAACCTGGTCTACACAGGCAGCCAGGTCAGCCGTGGCTACTCAGTGAAACCCTGCCTGAACAAAACAACAGAAAGATCCAGAAAAGGGGCTAGGAGTAGAGTACTCGCTTAGTGTGTACAAGGCCCTAGGTTCAACCCCCCCCCCAGCGTTGTAACCATCATCATCATCACCATCATATAAAATACACATATATACACATAAAATAAGCAAAAAATGTGATACAAAGCATTTTAAAGGGGCTGATGAAATGGCTCAGCAATTGCCACCACACCTGAGTGTTATACCCAGGAGGGCCATGATGAAACTAGAAAACCAATTTACACACACACACACACACACACACACACACACACACACACACACACACAGCGGCACATGCATACACAGCTCCACACAACACACATGCACGCACACACTAAATAAACAAATGTAATGATTTAGGAAAAAAGACAAGCTACAGAGGAGCAGGTGTGGTTCTGTGCGCCTGCAATTCCAGCACCCGGGAGGTAAAGACCGGGCATCAGTTCCACAGGAAGTTTGAGACAAGTCCGGGCTATTCAAGACCGTAAGAGCCAGCCTCCCTACAAAGGTCACCGTGGTTGCAGAGCTGAAAACAAACCAGAGAGCGACAGGAGCAGTCCTGGGTGAGTAGTGTTGCATCACGTGCCGGGCCAGTGGAAAGAACAAAGAGCTTCGTGCTGGACGGGACTCATTCTTGAGAAGGATCAAGGATGACTGGTGCCCCAGAGTGGATGTTGCTGCCGCTGTGGGAGGGGGCAGGTTTGGACACGCCGGGGCCGAGCTCCACAGGAACCTCGAGTTACACAGTTCTAAAGCTTACTTTAGAGCAAGTCTGGGCACAGAGCTCTGGGAGCTCTGGCTCCCTGCCAGGAATTCCGTTGCTTATTATTCTAAAGACTGACCTCTGAACTCTAGCCCATCAATGTCTGTCTTAATCTTAAGGCAGTAGTCTGACCTCCATAGCTTTAACGGGACTGTTAGATGTGTGACCCGGGCCCTGAGAGCCCAGTAACTCAACCTCAGATTTAATTAGCTTCACTCTTGTCCTCTTATTATCCACTCGGCTTACTTTGTGAATATCATCAGCCAAAACCCCAGGGTCCTTATTTCTCAAGAATGGCTATGCTTTCTCCAAACCTGCAACTAGACTGTTTTTTGTTTGCTTGTTTGTTTTTGTTGTTGTTTTTGCTTATCACCCAAAGTGAACGCTAAGGCCTTCACAGTGGCTACAGCTTGTACTTGTAGACCTGACACCATCCAGGCTCATCCTTGGAGCTTCCACGAGACAGCTCCCACCCTAAGAGCCATGTGCATGCTTTCAAAACCTAACCCAGAGGTTGCCTGCATCTCCCCAGCCCCTGGGATCCTAGGATTCAGACAAGGAAAGGAAATCACACCTTTATTGTTGGTAACCTCGAACCAAAAATCTAGTACTGCTCTCTGTGAATGAGAGCAAAACTCCTAGTGGCTTCCAAGGTACCTGTTGACTGGCCACCAATATTTACTTACCTGCTTTTAATCATTTATCAGTTTTTTTTTTGTTTTTGTTTTTTTGGTTTTTCGAGACAGGGTTTCTCTGTGGCTCTGGAGGCTGTCCTGGAACTCACTCGGTAGACCAGGCTGGTCTCGAACTCACAGAGATCCGCCTGCCTCTGCTTCCCGAGTGCTGGGATTAAAGGCGTGCGCCACCAACGCCCGGCCTCATTTATCAGTTTTACGTGCATTGGTGCATTGCCTCTTTATGAGGGTGTCAAACCCCCCAGGGAACTGGAGTCACAGACAGTTGTGAACTGCCCGTGGTTGCTGGGGGATTGAACCGAGGTCCTCTGGAAGACCGGCCAGTGTTCTTAACCACTGAGCCATCTCTGTAACCCCCAACGGACACCGCTACTTATATTCTCCCTGCAGAGCATCCAAGTGGACAGGGCTTCCATGGCCCAACTGAGAGGACAACAGACCAGTGCTGGAGAACACACGCAGGATGTGGGACATGGGCTGGGGAAAAAGGGACGAGAGCGGGCTGGGAGTGAGGGGAGGGGGCGGACATTACCCAAACCCCAAGGAAATGCACCGACGGCTGTGGAAAAACTCAACTTTTATTATTACCTGCCTAGTGCAGGAGATTAAAATTGCCTCAAGCTAAGTCCATATATTAGTGTAAAAATCTGTGTCTCTCCCCCCCCAAAAAAATGTACAAACCCACGTGATTATAGAAAACCAATGTGGTAGCTACAATAGAGATCCCCACCCCCAGCCTTGGGATACTGATCCCTCTGTCCCCCATCCTAGTATTTACTCCACAGAAACATAGGCTTTGAGAAGTTCTAGCTGCAGCACAGGGGGTGGGAAGGTGGGGTGTGTGACCGAGGATCAGGGCAGGGATCACCCCCAGGTCCAGGGTGTCGGGGGCGGAACAGAAGGAAGCCAGGGTTGAGGACCACTGGAGGGGTTAGGCATCCTAGTCCGCCTCGTCCCCCCCAGTTTCTCAGCTGGCAGAGTCCAGTGTGTGACAGGAAGGAGGCCGGGGGGCACGGCCGCCTCCCCAGAAACCAGTGTTGTCCAGTGGGGCCCAGGTACTCCAGGGGGCCTTGTCCAGTGTGTGCCCTGCATTGTGGATGGCTGCGAGAAGTCAGGCAGGGTCCCAACCCCAGGGCCAGCTGGGTGGGTGGTGCTCGGGAGACGGAAGGAAGGAAGGAAGAACAGGAAGGGAGTGTGTATCCAGTGACAGAGGCTTCAGCTCCCTGGGCAGGCCCAGCCCACCTGCAGAAAGCACTGCCTCTTGGGGATTGCAAGTCAGGAGGCCGTGGGGTGGGGTGCCATAGGCTTCTCTCACTTTAGTGTCCGGCTTCCCCCGGGACGGCTCCCAACGGGAAAGGGCTGCAAGGTCCTGAGTTTACACCGTGTTGAGCGCATCATCTGCCAGGAACCGATGAAGCTGGGCAAAGGGCGGCCGCTGCTCGGGCTCCCGGCTCCAGCACCGCAGCATCAGCTCGTAGAGGGTCTGCGGGCAGGCGGGCGGCCGGGACAAGTACACCTGCGAGATACAACGCGAACGAGAGGCAGGGGACAGGCGCCCTTTAGTTTCCGTCGCCACGTGATCTGCCCCTCCGGCCCGCCTACCGCAAGCCACACCCCTCCCTCAAGCCACACCCTCTCCCTCGGGGGCTCTGACCTGCCGGCCCTGGTCCCTGAAGAACTCCCCGGCGTTCTCGATGACCTGCTCGTCTGTAAGCTGCCCAAAGGGCTGGGACCGGCAGAGCATCAGCACCTCCCACAGGGTCACTCCAAAGGCCCACACGTCACTCGCTGTCGTGAACTTCCCCTTGGCACGCAAGAACGCAAGAAAGTCAGGGAAAGACCTCAGACCCAGGTCTGCCCATCCTCACCCTGGAGCTACCCCACTACCCGACCCCCTCTCACCTGTTCCTGCCCCCACTCCCCCCTACTCTGGCCCTATCCTTCTCTGCCAGCTTTGCCACCCGCCGGTCCTGAGCCTCTCTCCTGCCCCAGCCCCTTCTATCCCGAGTTTCCAACTCTTACCCCTCCAACCCACTCTTGGCTCCCGGGTCCCTTTGCCCACACACCCCTCTTCCTTCTTTGCCCAAGTTCCTCGATACAGAGGTACCCTCGACTTCCAAATGAGAGGATGCCGCCCCAGAAAGGCAAGTGGCTGAGGAGCCACGGGACTGGCAGAGGGCACCCAGGGTCCCCTCCCAGCCTGCTCACCATAAGGATGCACTCCCAGGCCATCCACCGGATGGGCAGCACTGCCCGGCCCTGTACACGGTAATAATCCCCAGCATAGAGGTTCCGGCTCATGCCAAAGTCAGCGATTTTGATGGTGAAATTTTCCCCAACCAAGCAGTTCCTGGTGGCCAGGTCCCGATGCACAAAGTTAAGCGTGGCCAGATAGCGCATGCCCGAGGCGATCTGGGCTCCCACGTGCAACAGCATCGGGTAGCTGAGTGAAGGGGTCGAAGAGGAGGTCACGGGGCAGTCCAGACGTCTCCCCCACTCTGCACGCTTCCGTTTGGGAGAGGGAGAGGAGCCCACGCCTCAACCACTGGATAGGTGGCTCCTGACCCAGGTAGGGAGGAGGTTCGGAATGGAGCAGGCCCTACTCCACCCATCCAGTCCCAAGGAGTTCACGCTTTGTTAGGCAGGGGCAAGAGGGAACTCATGGAGGCTCAAGCTTGAACCGGCTGCTCCCAAGGTCTCAGCCTTTCCCGCCTCGTTCACGTTTGACCATGGACATGAGTTCCTCGTCCTAGTCCCCCCCCATGTTCCCCTCCTCCCTCCCCAGCTTAGTGAGGGTGAGGAGGCCCACTTGGGGTGCCCCTCTGGAAGTCCCTGAGTGGGTACCTGATTGTGGGCCCCTGGTCAGACTCCCTGTCCCCAGGAACCCCCTGAGCTGCCTTGTTTTCCAGCTGGTGGGCACTAAGGAACTGGTTGAGGTCGCCATTCTCCATGTAGTCTGTAATCATGCAGAGCGGGTCGTCCTGCACACACACGCCCAGGAGCCGAATGATGTTCGGGTCCTTCAGCCGGGACATGATCTTTACCTCCTTCAGGAAATCGTTCCTGGAGAAGCAGGGAGAAGGCTGGAGAAGCCCCACGGCTGCGCCCCTTCCTTCTGCCTCCCGAGGGGGCCTCCCTCCCAGACACCAGGCTCTGCTGCTCCCCGATCCTCACGGTGGTGCCCGCCCCCCTTTCTAGACATCATCCCTAGCCCTTACCTAGCATTTTAAAACATTACTCTTAAAATTTAATTAACGATGACATCATTTCTCCCTCTCCTCTCTCCACCCCCCCATCCACCTCATCCTCTTTCAAATCTATGGCCTCTCATTCCTTAGTTATTATTGTTAAGTGTTCGCGTTCGAATACGTCTACAAACGCACTCTGCCCCATCCATTTGGTGCTGCTTGTACGTGTGGGTTTTAAGGCTGACCGCCTGGGGTTAGATAACCATTTAGGGGGCTGATCTCCGCCGATCTCAGAAGCTGTAGTCCCTGTGTGATCTCCACCCCCCCCCATTCGGACTGGCATGTGCTATCACTACGGCCGCCATGGGTCTCACCTGGCATTTTTGGTGGCATCTGGCCGGAGGATCTTCACTGCTACCAGCAAGGGGTGTCCCTTGTGCACACTGACAGGGAAGTCACTACTGACCAGATCTTGAGGGTTTTCCACCTCACACAGGTGCACCTGGAGAATGGAGGCCATTCGCTAGGTCACGAGGTCCACCCGGGTCACAATGCCAGAAGTGTGCACGAGCACGGGCGGGGGGGGGTTATCGCAGCACAGATGACAAGCTGTCAGGCCAAGGAAGCATGCAAGCAAGCGTGGCCCACAAATCCCTAGTCAGGCTAGACGCGGCCAAAGCTGGGCAGGCAGGCATCCTTACCTCCCCAAATTGGCCCTCGCCGAGCTTCTCCTTGAAGCGGAGCCGTGACCGAGGGAAATCCACTCGGGGGGGCCCATCCCCAACCGCCCCTGGGGGCAGAGCGGGCACAGCATACGTGTTGCCCCCAGTGACGCCCTGCAGGGTGACAATGTCAGCCTCGGCATAGTGGGGGACGCTGTTCTGGGGAGGTGGGGGTAGCAGCGGGGCGCCCGGCTTCTCGGGTTCCATATAGTCCCCACTGCAGGCTGGAGAGGCGAGGGGAGAGAAGACAGGATGAGACATCAGGGGCAGCCCTGAGCAGCACAGTTCTTCACGCCCCAATCTCCCAGAGGTCCCAGCTTCTACGTCCCCTAGGTCCCAGCTGCCAGCCTCAAAACGGAGAAGGCAGGTGTGAGAATCAGAGGCTTTCGAGGCAGCACAGATGGCTTAAGCAGAAGGTACCGGAAATTTTCACCCTCTGGGGGTCTCCTGGCACAACCCTGACCACTAGGTAAGCCTGGGCTGGAGCAGGGACTCCTCCACCCAGCATCTGAAGCCGGTCCAGGCCACGAGTCTCCCCCACGTTCCAACCCCTTATCCCACTGACCACCAGCTCCCGTTACTGTCAGCCGGCCCCTCCCTGCCCATCCCAGACACACCAAGCTCAGAGACAGGCAGAGACAGGGCACACATTGAGGGGAGAGGGCGACAGGTCCTGACAGGCCCCCAAGACGAGAGATGTTTACAGATAGGAGGCAGGCAGAGCCATCCCCTCTAGGCCCCCCCGGGGGGGGGGGTAAGGGCCACAATGGGAAAGCAACACGGAGAAAAGGGGAGCAGACGGGAGGGGCGGCATGAGCCTTCACCTCTGGGGCTGCAGAGAGAGGACACAGGGGGGAGAGGGCAAGTGCCCAGGGTGAGGCCCTCCTCCTCGCAGCTCTGGAGAGAGGGGAGAATAAAGGAGGAGTGTTACAGAGGAGCAGGGGCTACAGCAGCATCCTCTCCAGCTCTGGAGAGCAGTGTGAGAGGAGGAGGGGGCAGAGCAGCCTTCCCCTCGGCTCCAGGGCCAGCGGCGGGCAGAGCTTCCAGACGGGTGGGGAGCTCAGGAGAGCAAAGAAAAGGCCACAGTGGAGAAGTGCATAGTGTGAGGGCTTCTCCCTGCCCAGGAGAGAGGTATGGGGGCTGCAGCGCCCAGGAGCAGAGGGTCTTACCCTGGGTGTTGGTGGGTTTGGCCCAGGCGGGTGTGGGGGGGCCCGGGCCTCGAGGGGGACGGGCGTAAGTGGCCAGAAGGAGGCGGTAGGCCGGATTGGAGAGCAGCAACGCTGTCGGGAGAAGGAGGGTGGGGGGGGGGAGACACGGGGAAGGGATGAGACTCAAGGCTAGACGGACGGGGAGACCTGGAATCAGGCAAGACTGGGGCTTATGGGGCCCGAAAGAGCAGGCCCTCAAGGGTAATGGAGAGCTGAATGGAAGATGGATGTATACGGATGGAAGGGTGGATGATGGATGAGCGCAGAAACTGCTGTCTGAGTGCTGGATGCTGGAGAGACAAATGCGTTTATGAATATAGATGGATGGGTGGTTGGATGGGTGAGTGGATGAGCGGACCAAGATGGATGGATGGATGGGCGGATGGGTGGGTGGATGGATGGGTGGGTGGATGGGTGGATGGATGGATGGGTGGATGGATGGGTGGATTGGTGGGTGGGTGGATGGATGGATGGGTGGATGGGTGGGTGGATGGATGGATGGGTGGATGGATGG